ATCCAAAACTTTATCACAAAAAGCTCTGTTTAGGCCATCATCCAGTCAGGTAAATAATGCAGGTCTATACAGCTAATAGGGAATTGCATAATATCTAAATTGTCCAAGTTTACAGTACATAATATTATTTGTGAGAGAAACTGCCAATAGACAGATGGTAGCTCTGGATGAACTCTAGAAATTCAACAGTTTGGATTGAAGGACCTGTCAGGAGGATAATTGTTATGCAGGACCATTTTAAATGCAACATTTAAATCATGCAATTTAAAATCCAATTTGAAAAAGCATTTTTAAAATTGCCAAATTGAAATTGAATTGTGAAGAGGAATTGTAAATTGTATTTATTATTCCATTATTAAAGTCGTAGGGAAGCGGCTGTTCCAAACCGCATTTCCGAATTCTCCCGAGTGCTGCACGACTTTACACAAGTGAATAAAGTGAATGTGATTGGTCGTTTATCAAGGGGGTGGGATTGTTGTGGCGGAAGATTCGTGATTTGTGGCCGGTTTGTCGGAAGCATCTTGCTAACCAGTTGGCAACTTAGTGCTATTAGGTTCGCAATGGAAAATTACATTGAGACCAAGTAGCACTTAGAAACAACACTGTCAAAGAACACTATGGACAGCGGAAACATGAGGACAACAAGAGGAGGAGAGTTTTGTCTCGGAGGTCGAGGATGAGTCTCCTCCGTCTTACATTTTTTATTTAGAGGAGGGAAGCGGGGAAGAACTTGTTGTAGAAGAGGATGCCAAGGCAGCAGAAGCTTCGTTTGGTGTTGAAGGCTTACAGCTGTACATGTTGGAGCCCTTGTCTCACAACGCTGCCAGTTCTGTTAGCTCTACGCCTGCTGAAGACACAGACGTCCATCCCTGTGAACACTGGAAGGTAACTCAATGGTAAAGTACATGATTCTTATTTCAACCGTTGTGTATATTAGCTGGGAACGTATATATATGATTGGTCAAATATAGGTGTACAAGCTGACGTATAAGTAAATGGCCTGCATAAGATTACCAAAAAAAAAAACAGATTTTAAGAGGATTTTTTTTTAAATAGAAATGTTCTAACTTTTGGGACAATAGTCTATTTATATACATGTTTAAGCCGGAATGATTTGACATTTAAATATGACTTCCCTATGACTTTAAATGCTGACATTAAAAAAATTTATTTTCAAATCCTACCTCTAAATCAAGATTTAAAAACCAAAATTCAAAAATCTGATTATAAACACCTTTCTTAGTCACACATTTAAAAAGATAATTCCTTATTCCATTTCCTTTATATCTCCTTTTTATTTGCATTTTCATTTTAATATACCCTCCCCATTTACCTATTCTTGGACCCTTCTGGTCCCTGAGCACACTCAAAACCAGTTAAACCAATCTCAGTTGCCCCTTTAGAAATAACTAGCTCTCTTATTGGTTATTTTGTGAAGTTAGCTATAAGCTTCATTAAAAAAATTATTTAGATATAAGCCAAAAAGAAAACCAGAGGAAGTCACAATTGACAGTTGTGGTTAGATGCTGTCATGATATTGGCACTGATGACTGGATTAATAGTTCATTTCTTCCACCCAGGTTTCACTTGCCCTCATCTGATCCACCTATTCCAGCTCCTATTTATGCTGCCTGTTTCCATCCGTGCCAGATTATTCGAGCAGAGTGTGAGAAGTATCTAGTGTACCCTGTTGTGTTTTGACTGCCTGATCCTGACCTTTTTCTACCTCTGGATTCCTGAGATTTGGCCGCCCCTTTTCTCGTCATTTTTTGCTTGTTCCTGTGCTCAGACTGCTGTTTGGACTCTGCCTGATAGCGACCTTGAAACTGTCCCCTGACCCTGGCTTGGATATCCCTTTGGCACCTTTGCATCTTTCTGATCTGGACACCTGCCCTGTCACCTGCTTTGGATTCCACCTCTGAACCTTCTGCTCTTCTGCGTCTGCTGGCTTCTGCTTGTCAGTCTGCTCTGCCTGATTCCTGGAACTCTCTGGGCGGCTTCCGGCTCATGCTGTGGAGAAATCATCCGACCACTCTGTCCTCTGGACACGGACACAACTAAGAACCAAAGAATCCAGCAAGCCGATCCCAGCTGACGAGCAGCGCAATCCTGAGCAGTCTGCCTGAATTCTGGGTCCTATTTTCTGAGCCTTGGCAGATGCAGGCCAAATCAAACCATTTAGCCTAGATACAAAATACAACTTATGATGGAAACTAATACTTCACACAGTCCTAAAAACACAATTTGTAGAGTTAGAGCATGACGGCATTGCTTGGATGCAGTAGAAGATAATAATTTTACTTGGAATCTCATTTTTAGCAATATCTTGGCTGAAAAGATGACAGACATTTCTAAAGAATCAAAGCTGGGTTCTTACCGAACATCTGTCTCCAAATAAATATATTTTCATAAGCATGGCCTGACTCGGCTGCACTGGCATCTGCTTTGCTTCCCCTCGGATTTATTTTAGCTTTTAGGAACTGGCATCATTGATATGTAGAAAAACAATAAACAAGGGCAGAGTTGGCAACTCAAAACACATGAGTATTTGCCAGGTCTATAAATATGTTAATTTAAAGATTAGTATGCTTAGTTGCTTATTTCAATTTTCCCACTGTAAAATGAATGTATTAGTGTTTGCCGTTTTTTGTGCTGTTATATAAAAAAACACTATTGTTTTCTTCTTTGTCGTCTTTTTCTACAAAAATAATAAATATGCCATTTTGCAAATTGATGTGAGAGCACTTGAATATTTGTTGTCCTGTTAAACACAAGTATGATAGTTAGTCTTATTAACCATTATAATAGCTGATATTCTTAATTCTTCGACACTTTCGAGGCAACTTGTGACTGTACTCTATTATCTGAATGCTTTTTCTACCGAGGCATTAAAATTCACTACAGAACTTCTAATGTGTTTCCTTTTTCTCCTTTACAGTTGTGAATTGTATTATATCCCTAATTATCTTCTTTTAACATTGTATTATAATGGAGCTGAGAGTGGAATTGGAGAGAGAAATTAGCTGTGTGAAAGTAATTAATAACAAAATAACCACATTCTACAAACATTACAACCAATGCCAGCAGGTTTATTAAGTTAAGCTTGAGTTAAGAATTTCATTTCCAATTCAACATATGGCTGGTAAAATACGATGTAGACAAAATTGTTGGTCTCCCTCATTTAATAAAAGAAAAACCTACAATGGTCACAGAAATCACTTAAATCTAATAATAACAATTAAAAATAATAATAAAAAATTCTATGAAAATGAACAAATGATAGGCAAACATTTCTTCTTAACCATGCCTTAACACTTGAAACTCATGAAACAGGCGTGAATCAAAATGATGGTATTATTGGAAATATTGAAAATAATTTGATCAAAGGGACATGTTGAATCAAGGTGTGTCCAATTGTGTAATCAGTCAGTGGGCCTAAAACTTAAAAAAGCTAGACTGGACCTTGACAAACTACATGTTGACAAGAAGTTATGAAGTTTGACAATGCATAGTTTAGCAATCATTTTATGAAATTTACGGTGGAGGTTTAGGCTCCCTAGAGTTGAATTACAAAATGGCACTGCTCAATAATGCAAGCTGGGTGAGAGCTAATGGCACGCACAGGCAAAGGGGAAGTACACATTTTAAGGAATGTCCATTGATGTACCATGTCCATTTGTTGACATTATTTTCAGCCTTTTCTAGGGGCTCCATCTTTTTTGTCTAGGCCTTTTTAACGAGTTTAATTCTAAAATCATTCAGTTAAAGCATGGTTGAAAAGCAGCGTCAGATTCAAGTCATTTCCGCATGACCAGTCTGGGTTTTTCTTTAATTTTAAAATTTTTGTCCGTATATATAACTTACAGGATCAGTGTATCTGGTTTACATCCCCCTACTGTGTAATATCTCAAGTTTAATTTTAGAGGAGCAGATTTTGTGTCGCTCCATATTTATATGAAAAACATTGTGATGAATATGTCTTGATGCAACAAGTCTTATGTTAGCAAAAAGAAAGAGAGGCAGAAGGTGATTATTCCAGTCTACCAATTTCAAGATGACCTTTCTCTTCTTCCCTCAGATGCTGGTATTTACTGAGAATCCCTGAATAATTCACTCCCCATGCAGCCTGAAATATAAGAGTGAAGAGTAATTATGTTTTTGAGTAGAGCAAAGTGCTAATAGTTGTTGTACTGTAATCAAAAAAACTAATAAGATATGTAGAAGCTCTCTTCGAGTAATTAATGTTTTGATTCATGAAGTTGCACACCCTGCATACTGCTCGTATAAGAGATTGATGAAGGGAGTTCAGGTGTGTGCATCCTTTAGTTTGTGTGGGTGGGCAGGAAATGATAAATTGCAGGTTTCAGGATCTCGACGGATATTGTTGGGATGAACAGTCGACCAGCAAAAAGTAAAACCATGCTGACAATTTACTTGATGGACTGTACAAAATCCAGTTATGTCCAAACACTATACACTATAGCTCGCTAGCTGTATTTCTATTCAATAACATTTTCTTTTTTTTGCCTTTACAAGTATGACACCTACAGTGTATGCTTGTTACCATTACATCCTCATAGAATTATGATTATTAACCACTGACATGTTTAGGCCTATGTTTCCTTCTGCATGGTTAAATCTTGTGATGAGTTTCAAACTCTTTTAATAGCATTCTTACTGTCACCGAAGCTGCAAAAATACCCCTAAAGACCTAGACAAAAGGGAGTCAAATAGAAGTATAATGTTTTATTCATGAATTAAAAGGCTGACAATTCTCGAATAATTCAGGAATTTATTAATTATAAATTTCATGCAAGATCCCCTTCATTGAAAACAATTAATAATGCATAAACTGCCAATAAAATATATTACATTCCTGCATTAAAAATCATTTTTATGCTTCTATATCAGAGCAATTAGGACTCCTTATACATATTATCATTAAAACATCTTGCATAAGTATTCATATAACTCGAAGCGCACACATTTAAAAAGCAGATTTCCTGGGTCTGCCTCTCCTAGGTGCCTTTGCTTTGGGGATCCCTTTGTGCATCTGGGGTTTTAGGTCCCCCGGCGCTTGCCTTGGTGCTCTGGGGGGTCGGGTCTTTGGCTCTTCACAACCACTATTGAGCATTTTTCCTTTAGATAAACTTTACATGCACAAGTGCACTCTCACAAACAACAGGTGCTTGTTTCAAATTACTCAGAGATTCATTTCCATACAGAAAGCCAATATTCTTATCTTTGGCTACCACAGTATACATGTCAGATTAAATAGTACTACTTACACATCAGTAATAATATCAAGGTACCCCTTTTTTGTATCTGTATACTATATCCGTTGGTTGTGCTGTTCTTTTTACATCTCTCTTTGCAGGTGATGAAGCACACAGAAGACGTTTTATCGTTGTCTCCCTTTTATCTCCTCTTTCTTTCATCTTTTCTCCTTTTTCCTGTTTTCCCTTTTCTGTTCTACTTACATTGCAGTGTCCATATGATCTGCAATACTCCCTGCATAATTATAATAAAGCTATTTACATGCATGAATCAAGCAGAACACTATAGCAATAGCCATACTGCTCCACCTGTGAAAGCTAAATCTGTTGGGCCCCTTTTTGGCATCAAGACAATTATTCTTATTGCCACATTGCCAGAGAGGACACTGTTAAAAAAAAATATAATGATAATAATTTCCCAGCAAAACCCTTTCACTTGGTAGATTTGTTTTCCAGCAGTATTAAACTACATAACATAAATTGAATCATACCAATGCAATGACCTTCTTTCTTAGTGCTGATCAATACAGTTTCATCTATCAGTTAATTTCAGTTCCCCTGTGTGGCTGATGAAAGGATCAATACTCAGAGAGAGTTAAGGTGGTGCACAGGCATTCAGTTGCTCCAATATCCTGAAGCCATTTGGGGAAAAGTTGTTTGATGATATGTCAGTATTCCATTCAATTTCATCATAGAGTCTGAAATACAGCAGAAGACAAAGTCCTTACAAATGTCAATCTGTGCTTTAGGATCGAGTCAGCTGTTAAACTGGCAATAAACATGTGCAGTGGTCTGTTCTGCTGAAATGGTTGAATTCCAGCCCAGACTCCTATTCCTCTGGGCAAACGTGCTCCTAAATCTCCCTCATTGTCAGTGTAACTGATGAAATTCAAAGGATCATTGGTTCAGCATGACAGTAAAAAGAGTCAGAAAGAGGAAGAGCTTGGGTAATCATTTTTGAAATATTGCAGCTTACCTTTAGTTCCCCTTTATCATTTTCAGTCACGTCCGAATTGATTGCTTCAGAGAGATGTGATTCTCTCTTCAGAATATCATGATTTGGCATAGTGAGAGGATCAATCAGAACCTCATCGGGGACACCAGAATGAATCCAGGATGAGGGAATCTGGACACTCCACATTTTAGGCTGACCAAATGTCCCTGCAGATGGAAAATTACATTTTAATGTATGTTCTAACAAATTGCATTTAATGGAGCTGAAAAATGTGACTATAAAACAGCAGGTTATTAAAATGTGATATTTCTGTATCCCAAGAGATTTTTTCCCCCTGCAATGTGCTTTCATGTAAAGGATATGATATTTTTTTATTGCCCAATATCTGAATTTGTCCAGTTATTACACAAAATCAGTAGATTGATGTTTTATAGAGGAATGGTTGGATTGCACCACGCATAATAAACTGTCATCTTTTTAATGGGGTTTAATCTTTCAGAAGTTTTTAAACTCACTTTAAAAAATAAATTCAGAGCTTTTACTGAATTACAGCACAATGTCTCTTGGGGGATATTTCTGAAATTAGAGCCAATTTGTTTTTGTTACAACAATTTAAACTCAGTCAGATTAAAAGTTGAGGTATATGAACATATGTTTTCAAGTTTTACACCAATTTCTGAATTGGATTAAGGTCTGAACATTGGCAGGGCTATTGTAACTCATAATATTGTTCTGACCTATACTATTTCGTTTGGCCTCTTTCTCTCTATACACAGATGTCCTGATGTAAGGCAAGCCAATCCTGACTGTTCTGTTCTCAAGTCTGTTGTGGCTTTACCAGGTTCTCATGAAGGACTGCCTTGTGTTTAGCTCCAATATTCAGTTTCCAAAGAACCCTGACCAGGTTTGCTGTATCTGCTGAGTAAAGCATCCCCTTAGCGTGATGAAATCACCACCATTTCCAGTATGATATCTTCTAGTGAATAAGCTCTAAAAGAATAGCCTAGTAGACTAGCCCCACCCGCCAGAGGCCAAAATCCTTTTTGCCTGCGAGTTTGGTCTACTCTCGATCAATGCCCCAGGCCCTAGAACTGGCCAATCACAACGCAGAGATGTGTGTTGAATCTTTGGATGTAAAGCAGACGGGGTTTTGAGGGCATGACAACAAAGCTGCGCAACACTGGAGAAAGCACAACAAGGAAGATGCCAGCAACTATTAAACAGTTCTTGTTTGATTCAGCTTTGGAGTTAGTTTTGGAATGATTAGACTTGGGGTTTTATGTGAAACATGAGCAGAAAGAGGCTCTACGCTCATTCATTTTTAAGAAGGACATATTCGCCGATTTACCTACAGCCGTGTCACATGCTGTTTTTTTACACGACCCCATCAGCTTCCTATCGCGCTCATTGGTCATAGCGTTGGCCAATAGGCTCTGACATGGTTTAAAAAACAACTGGTTGTTCTCATCAACAATCTTCCGATGTCTCATTCATCTGGGCAAGACTAAATTACACATTTAAGCTCACATTTAGTCTGGTTTATCAGGCTACAAAGATAACTAAATAGGAGTACATGTGTTTAAGAAGTTTGCATTGCAAAGGTTTTGAAAATATAATAAACTTTATAAATAAACCACACTTAAAATTTCAAAATAATGCAATTATGTGTGGCTATTAAATAACAAAATGTAGAAAAGTGTCAGGGTAGGAATATTTTAACAGGAAATGAATTACTGATGCCACCCCTTAACCCTCATCTAGCTCCGACCTTGGTGACCGGTACTGTGAACAGTTCACCTAAAATAACCAAGTGTTTAGCTTAGCAGTCTTTTTTATGTCTGAGGGTGCCAAAGACAAAACACAAGCTCAGAGGTGACCGTGCTTTTTCTGTTGCAGCCCCTAAGATTTGGAATGACCTTCCCTTGGCCGTTAGACAGGCCTCTTCACTTTCTGATTTTAAATCTCTTCTTAAGACCCATTTCTTTCACTTGGCTTTTAACACAATCTGATAAGCTGACTTTGTCTTACTGTGTTTCTTTTATTTTTATTTATTATTGCTTTTTATGTTATTAATACTTTTACATACCAATTTATTTATTGTTTTTTATGATTAATTATTTGTATTTTAAGATTGTGCATAGCACTTTGGTCCTGTTGGGTGTCAATCATGCTTTTAAAATTATTTTTGTATTGTATGGTATGGTATAGAACGGTATTTTATGGTATGGTATGTTAAACAGAATAAGTGGCTCAACTGCAACTGTTGACACCCACCGATGAACTCTCCTTGTGAGCTCCACAGCCTTACAGTTTGGTCAGTGGATGAGGTAAGCACCATTCGATTACTGCTAATAATCTGCAAGCTGAACCAGGTACAAAATAAGAAAATATAATGAAACTGCAAGCAAGATATTCTCTTGTGATCATCCATAGAAAGAATTCAACACAAAGTGCAAAACTTAAAGATTCCAGTTAGTATTTAATAGCAGTGCCAGGGCCTGCTTGTCTCGTTTCACACACAGTTCTACACCGTACCTACAGCTGCAGAGCAACATCATGGCATTGCTGGTGCAACCGACACCTTACATTGGAAAAGATTGGCTCCATATGAGTGAATTAGATAAAAGTGGTAGGTATAGAATCTAGCTGACTGTTACTGAACCAGTCAACTGACATGTATTAGTTTCACAAGATAAAGCTGTGGGAGATTCATGGGTACAATGTGTACGTACGGATCGTACATACCTGGTAATTGTGCCAGTATGAGCACGCCAAAAATGTTCAGCTAAGAGATTTGTTTTATAAAAACAAGAGAGAGACAAAAAATCTGAGAATATTTTCTGATGAAAAGAGATAAAGTCAAAGGTGAGAGACGAGGGATGCTAACCTGTGGGTGAATTCTGCTCTGCGTCAAAAGCCTCCATGTTGTGAATATAGATGTAACCAATCCTGTCAGCAGCATATAGTAGTGTCTTTTCATAAGTGGTGGCCAGTTTTGTTATCTTTTGCTGAAATTTGGACTGTGGTACAAACATGATCTCAAATCAACAGAATTTTCAAGAAAACATCTGGTGTCACACATAATGGCTGAAGGTTTAAAACATAAATACAAATAAATCAATCTTTCTATATCTAATCCTTATTTTTTTTTTTCCTTGACAGGACTTAATGTTTTACTCTGGGTGTTATAAGGACTTATCAAAAAGGCCATCTCTCCTTGCCAAGCCTGAAAATGGAAGAACGTAAGAATTGGACATTCAACGTCATTAACTCACTTCAAACTAATTAAAGCCACTGGTCTTGACTTGAAATTGGGTTGAAATAGGATAATCTTACTCTGAAACTAAAAAAGATTTCCAAAAATTACACATTAATAATACATTTTTAAAGAAAACGATCAGTAAAATCAATTGTTTTTTCTAAGAAAGCAAGTGGAACTGAATATTTGTTTTGGAATTCATACTTTATTTTTTTAAATTCCAATTTAAATGTCTGATTTCTCTTTTCCATCCTTCAAAATGGAAAAGACAAGAGGAGATGGACTGTTTGTCCCACTACTATCAGGAAAAGGATTAGGGTACAGGTTCTTTTTCAAAGCCATGAATGCAATCTTCCCCCTGCAGCGAGACACTCACAATCCATTTCACCATCACACAGACGCTCACGCACAGACTCAGTCACAACAAGATCACATACACACACATATATCACTGCTGAAAAAGAAACAAATCACTAATTCAGTGCATTTCATAGGCTGAGCACAGCTGCACTTCATGTTAATGCTTCATGCTGCATTTTTAAGTTGAATGTTTTCTGAAAAGGTGAATAAGGTTGTTTAAATATTTAATAGTTAGTGGTATTTCTTCAAATGGGTTCTTTTAACATTTATCAGGGTCTCTAAGTAAGATGCTCACTTTTCGTTTTTTGGATAAATGTTTTCAATTCTTGTTTTTGTACTATATATGCATTGTGATGTTATTACATTTTTATTACATAACAACAATAAAGACTCATACATTTCTTTTTTTAAGTAAGGTGATGTGTGATGATGTTTATAAATCAGTAAATGGTAGTAGAAAAGGGTGTTACTTGCCAAAATGTGCTTGTAATTTTAGTCACTGAAATCATTGAAAATGTGTGAAACAACCAGATCTGTGACAAACAAGGTTACAGTATATAAGATTAGAGGCTTCTTCTATAGCTCCGTTTCCATTGCTTTTTATAAGTCCGGATATTTTCAAAGCTAGGGTAGCATTTCAGTACACATTTACCTGAGTAATTTATCTTTCCTGGGCTTTATTGTCCCACTGCTTTGGGCCTGTGCCAAAGTTAGGGCTCACAGAACATTCCCCAGGATTGCAGAAGGGTTGTATTCATAATGACATATATATTATATATACTACAGTGCTTTGTTTCACCAATAGTGGCTGTAGTGAATTCAAGTGTACATATCCTGTTTTTATAACTATAGCTAATTGATCAGCAAAGAGGTTTTAAGACATTTTTAAACAATAAAATAGATTGATTTGTTTATAATTAGATAGTAAAGGCATCAATTCCCTGAAACTTCTGACTGGCCTTTATATATACAAATTTGTCATTTTTTTTCGCTTTGTGCTTTAGATATATGAGATGTACCTTAGTTTATGACAATAAAAGAAAACCAAATTTGCTATTTAATTTTTAGCAGTATTTGTAAGTGAATTATCTCTGTTCAGATGCTTTCCAAAAATCGGGGATTCAATCTGTAGACATTCAGCAAATGTTGTTGCAAGTGTAACTTTTTGTCTAGATTTTTATTACACTGGGAAACGTTGGTAAACTCAATCCACATAAAATTGCATAAGTACAAGTCAAGTTCTCTTGCCTGGAAATAAATAAATCCCATTTTCATACCTTGTGAAACAGAAAAAAAGCGGTATGAAAATGGGATTTATTTAATTATTTCCAAATATGTTTCAAATAAATTTAAAGTACATTTCAGCCGATGGTTTGAGTTAAATATCATGTTATGATTCCTTTGAATTAATGTTCTGGGCCTTTCAGAGTGATGGGAACAGTAGGCTGTCAATATCCCCAGGAACTTCTTTTAGGCTTTGGGTCTTGAATGTTTTAGTGGAAAGGAGGGTATTATTTTAGTTACGCTTTATGAAACACACATTCCCATATGCATTTATTAGAGTTCATTTAGGAGTAACCAGTTTTAAATCTGAAAAAGATGTAATGATTGTTATCCAATCCTGATAAAGCTTGACATTTCACAAGTTTCTGTGAAATGTTTCAACTTTTAGCCACAGTTGGTGGGTCTCTGAGGAGTGGAGTAACAGTTTTAATATTCCACATTTTTACAATGTTTCTTCTATCAATTGAAAATCTCATCACCATTCTCACAGAAACAAAGTAGAGTATCTACATTGCTCACCTGCAGAGTATATACTGTATATCAACAACAATTAATGCCAAGCACAGTGGCATATTATGGATTAGCTCATTTCTGTTTTCGTTCATTTAGGACACAATAGAAAAATTATATCACTTGTTAGCCGAACAGAAACAAAATGATGTAAATGAAAAAAGGAAGATAAATATAAAATGACTCACAACTTCAAAGCTGCTCACAAGCTTTTGTTCAAACACATCCCAGAGATTTACCCAACCTTTGAAAACACAAAATGAATAAATAATGCTGCTGTGAAATAAATAAAGGTTGTAAAATGTAATAATTCACGATTATCAGTGTTCTGAAAAGCTAACCTCTGACTCCAGGTGACAGAAGAGCAGTAAATGGAGAAAGCTGCAGCAGCTTTAGGTTCTTGATAACAAGCATGCTTGGGACACTTGTGTCCAGTCCTTTTATGAAAAGAAAAGATGTATATGTTTCATACCAGTATTTCAATCAATCAATCAATCAATCAATCAATCAATCAATCAATCAATCAATCAATCAATCAATCAATCAATCAATCAATATATGTATAGCTATATCACCTTTAGTGTTTAGATCTTTAGCTCCAAGAGGTCCAAGAAACCGACATTGTATAGATCCAGAAGCTGTGTTCCACACTATGATTTCTCCGTTCTTGCCGCCAGTGACCAAAAAAGAGGGAGGACACTGCAATACGCAAAGGATGTCCTCCTTATGGCCATTTTTCTGTAGACAGAGTAAAACCCATTATTCTAAAAATGTTTATGTCACATTATCTTTATACAAAAATAAATAATTGCAACAAAAAATTAACTGGCATTACCCTTTATACGGCACTCAGTGAAATACTTTGAAAATCAAAATTTCAAGCCAATAGTTTTATTGGAATCCAGGACAAGACCTTGTTACCTTTGTAACATTAAAAAAATATGGATATTTTGATGACAAAAATCTATGTCAATGTAATACCAAGAAACGCCAAACTGCCCGAATATATCAAGAAAAATAACAAAGTGCTTCTATAAGACTAATACTAATAATTCATGAAAAATACTAATTATTCATGAAAAACACTCAGAGTGAAAGAAACACATTTTTTTGGTACAACATAGCCTTAGAGGCATTGATGCTGATACTGGCACTTAGATTTTTCAGTTTGTACACAATTGTTAACTTAATAACTTTTCAATTAGGTTTTTACCTTTTTTTTTTTTTTGACTTGTTAACTTTTGTTCCCCCCAACTTAAATTACAGTAGGTAATATATAATTCAAGGGCTCATCTAATTGGTCAAATGCCAAAATAAGATGTACAGCCATGTAGCAGCATCTTTGCTGAATCGCTGGATATACTGTAGATCTTGTGCTTCTAGGGCTCACTGAGGGGGGCTCCATTTGTAAGGGGTACGCTAGTGATCAAAAATGCTAACTTGACCTATAAAGGATTAAAAATGGAGAACTCTCTATGAATAGAGCTGAAGGCTGCTTTTTAATCGCAAGAAAATATTAAGCCTGTTCTGTCACTAATTGCAAAAATCTCATAGAAGTTTATTATTAAAAAAATCTGCAAAAACTATAGGTTTTATGGTTAATTGCTTTTCAGAAGCTTTATGTTGCTCATCTGTCCTTCAGAGAGGAAGTTTATCTATGCCATCTATAAAGCTTTCAATATCCATGTTTTAAGAGGAAGTATCCCTTATTGTTTATCTTTTGAAAAAAGGAAATAAGCACATAGTAAATAATTTCTTTACCTTTTCATTTTCGAAATGAATCGGCACCTTGAGCTTCTTAGAGAATTACTAAAAGGATTTCTGGTCCTCAAAAGCCCTAATGAAAGATAGATGTCTTATGAGAAAAATAATCTCACAATGTAGAGGGGGGACCTTGGTCTGTAATTATTTACAACGTTGCTTCGGCTTCTGGGGGTTTGTGGCACCTTGTTTTGATTTTCTTATGTTATAGAGTAACTGATGTGCTAGGAGTCTTTGCCCCAAGCTTCATTTGTCATTCAGATGGCCTCTAATTTACTGCAGAATACTTTGGTTTTGGCTGCCACACAATTGCTACACAACCCCGAATCATTATCCCTCCACCACAGCCCACACTAACACCTGATGTAAACAGAATATCCTAATATGTATTGTGTGCTTTTCTATGGCATGATATATAAAAGCTTTCTATTTTCAACTAATCTACCACTGAAACTTCACAGTTTATTCCATCTCAATAACTAATCTCACTACAGTCTCAATATAGTGGGTTTCAAACTCTGTGAAAATACAATCCCTGCTGCATATATGGTCATTGTTTATGTAGTTCCTGCTTAGCATAGCTCTAACAGATAACTCAATGATCTAAAACAAAGCAAACCAAATAAAAGCTGTTACAGAGGTGTTCGCCTCTCTTGATTAATTCAAAGTTTATTTGATTAGCATAGTTTGGTTGCTAATTTTCCTACAGTTATATGAGGCGGACATTTTATATTGTTGTAGGGAGTTTTTTCCAAGTTGGCAGACATAGAAGATTTCTTTTCCCATTACTGTAAATGTCAAACAGTCTCAGGTGTGCCTAATATATTCTACTCAGGTGCACCACACATGGATTAACAGCTTACTAGATGTCAACACCCCAGCCGAGCATGGGAGCCAACATCAAATGGTCTGAAAATGTACATAAAAAGCCGAACTGAAAAAACTAGCAGTGACTGTAGGATTTAGAGGCTAAAGAAGAAGGAGAGCCTTACATATGAAACAAACCATTGATCCCCATTCTGAAAGCTATTAATAGAATACCTAAGATGGACTCTCTGTGGATTATCAAGGGTTAACTTTTCTTTTTGGAGAGTGTAATGTAATATTTCAGCTCTGATAATGGGTTTATATTGGGATAAATCTAACCACCAGCTGCAATGTAAAAGATCTAAGGTGTTTGAAGATCACCTCAGCCAATAGATCGTACAGCATTAATCAGCTTTCCCTCTTGTAGCACCTACAGAAAAAGCTGCAGCCTGCAGTGAGAGATAGCTGGAAAGCATGACTCAGATAGAGAACCTATAATCTTCGATGATCACCAGTTAATATGTGAAATACTAGGTGGCATAGGTGAAAACACATTGTATAGTTCTTAAAGCATAACTCGTTTTGTATTTTAAGGTGTTAGTCTGTTTTATCAATGTGTTTGAAAAGATTCAAGTAAAAAAAAAAAAAAAAAAATATATATATATATATATATATATATATATATATATAGAGAGAGAGAGAGAGAGAGAGAGAGAGAGAGAGAGAGAGAGAGAGAGAGAGAGAGAGGGAGTAAATAGTCATATTTTCTTATAAATCTTGTTTTATTTTTTTGCAATATATTATTTGCCATAAATTAAAAAGCTGTCTTGAATTTTAACAAATGGAACAATGTGAGGAGATTTGAAGTAGATCAAGATTAATTCTTTGCATTTTATAAAAATTATGTATATTTTAAAGAAGCATTTCAAATTCATGAGGAAAATTGTAACCCTTGTTACCAGCAAACAGTTGTCTTTTAAGTACAACCACATTAACTATCAACACTCTAATCAAAATTAGCTAGATAATTAATGAGAACCGTAGAAATTCTCACATTAAAAATATGCATTGTAGATTTTTTTTAAGGGGAATATTTGTAAAAATTTGTCAAAAACACAGCAAGAAATTAGATACCTTTTAAAAATATAAGACAGGTGGGAAAAGTCCTTTTTTTCCCATTATCACTCTACAGGTGTGAGAAAGATTTCTCTCCTTATCTCTATGTCCTTTTGTGGACATTTTGTGATACATAGTGCCCTCTGTGAATCTATGTCAAAGACTGAACCTGAAAACTTTATCATAACTCAATGCCCCCAAGGCTAAAAAGTAAATGAATTTACTGTATAGAAGCATGACAGTATTGTACTGTACCACATCTGCAGAGTGAAACCAAAAAATTATGTGTAGGAAAGCTCTGTGTTTACTACTTTAAACTTTCTCTCCCCGGTTCTTTTTCTAGTCTCTGACATGTTAGAACAAATGCACAATTGGTATCACTGTTTACTGCTTTTAATAATAATAAAAAAAATGAACAGTGGTTGAAGAAATCACTAATGAATTAAAATCTATTTTCTTCATATTTATATATATTGAGATTGTGAGTATTAATTGTTCAGTATGCATCAATCCAGTTGGTTAATAGATTAAGACACATCCATCCATCCATCCATCCATCCATCCATCCATCCATCCATCCATCCATCCATCCATCCATCCATCCATCCATCCATCCATCCATCCATCCATCCATCCATTATTGAACCAACTTCCTGCTTATATTCACCAAGTCATCTTTCCACGAAGGCTCTGGTCTCTGGATACCATGAAACTCCTCAGGAACATCCTGATAAATTAGAGACATTTATTAAGATCCATCAACTGTTCTGTGTTCCCATAGGAATCAATTGTTTTATACAACTATTGTTCAAGACACAATCTGCTGGTTAGATAATCTTGAAAATATGCACACAAGTTTCCTAGTTGAGTAATTCGTACTAAAATTATACATATACACTCACCGGCCACTTTATTAGGTACACCTGTCCAACTGCTCGTTAAGACTTAATTTCTAAGCAGCCAATCACATGGCGGCAACTCAGTGCATTTAGGTATGTAGACATGGTCAAGACAATCTCCTGCAGTTCAAACTGAGTATCAGTATGGGGAAGAAAGGTGATTTGAGTGACTTTGAACGTGGCATGATTGTTGGTGCCAGAAGGGCTGGTCTGAGTATTTCAGAAACTGCTCATCTACTGGGATTTTCACGCACAACCATCTCTAGGGTTTACAGAGAATGGTCCGAAAAAGAAAAAAAATCCAACCCGAAAAATAACCACCCGTTACAACCAAGGTGGGCAGAAGAGCATCTCTGAACGCACAGTACTTCGAACTTTGAGGCAGATGGGCTACAGCAGCAGAAGACCACACCGGGTGCCACTCCTTTCAGCTAAGAACAGGAAACTGAGGCTACAATTTGTACAAGCTCATCGAAATTGGACAATAGAAGATTGGAAAAACGTTGCCTGGTCTGATGAGTCTCGATTTCTGCTGCGACATTCGGATGGTAGGGTCAGAATTTGGCGTCTACAACATGAAAGCATGGATCCATCCTGCCTTGTATCAACGGTTCAGGCTGGTGGTGGTGGTGTCATGGTGTGGGGAATATTTTCTTGGCATTCTTTGGGCCCCTTGGTACCAATTGAGCATCGTTGCAATGCCACAGCCTACCTGAGTATTGTTGCTGACCATGTCCATCCCTTTATGACCACAATGTACCCAACTTCTGATGGCTACTTTCAGCAGGATAATGCGCCATGTCATAAAGCTGGAATCATCTCAGACTGGTTTCTTGAACATGACAATGAGTTCACTGTACTCAAATGGCCTCCACAGTCACCAGATCTCAATCCAATAGATCATCTTTGGGATGTGGTGGAACGGGAGATTCGCATCATGGATGTGCAGCCGACAAATCTGCAGCAACTGTGTGATGCCATCATGTCAATATGGACCAAACTCCCTGAGGAATGCTTCCAGCACCTTGTTGAATCTATGCCACGAAGAATAGAGGCAGTTCTGAAGGCAAAAGGGGGTCCAACCCGTTACTAGCATGGGGTACCTAATAAAGTGGCCGGTGAGTGTATGTAGCTAAGGCCAAATAATTCAGCTTGTAATAACATTTAAACAATGCAATAAGGTAAACTATGATGAATGGTGCAGGAGTCAAACTAATTAGAATAACATTTCAAAATAAAATACATTGAACACTTTACAGACAAAATATCAAAACTCACAAATTTTCATTAACTCTGAGAAAGCTGCAGTCACACACCTCATGGCATTTACCTCCTAATGGGAGGATGGAAAAAATATAAGAAACAAGTTTGTTTTTTCTATTGTTTTTTTTTTTCTGTAGTAAAGAAACAAACTACGCTTACCTTTCTTTAATGTCTTAAGACACTGACCACTGTTGAAGTTCCATAACTTTAAGCATCCATTACTTCCTCCTGTGACCAGCCTAAAAAAGCATGAGTTGATAAAATAAAGATAGATGAATAGATGCAAAAAGAAAAATGGTCCTTAATTATACCTCCTTCCTTTAAAGTCAAGTGTCATGCAGGTGATGTCAGTCAGATCTGGTGTTGCAGTAAACTCAAAAACTTGTCGACCAGATTCTAAATCCCAGACTTTCACCACCTAAAAAAAATAAACAATCAATTATTATTTATTGATTAGGCAATGTATTGCCTAATCAATAAATAAGATTTTGTCAGATTTATACTTTCTTGAAAGAGTTTATTGCAAAAGTATTCATACTTACTTCATACTTTTATGGGCATGTGTGTAATTGGCAAGGACAAAGTAGTGCAGCTTTTTTGAAGCATAAGTAAAAAATGGCTGAATTGGTAATTATTTTTTGCAGTGATTTATTTTGGGGAGGGTTTTGTATCACCATCAGCCTCTGCATGTATTGGGTCATTGTAACCCCAAAGTGCTTTCTTCTTAAAAGCATGCTTGTTTAGATCAGTTAGATACATTGTTGGTGATGGATTATCTTGCTGGGCAGTTTGACTGCATAATTCAACTTTCTCCTTTTTCACATACCAGGTAATCTTGCAATATCTTAAAAGAGAGATCATTTCCAATGCATCTGATACCAGTTGCAAAGGCTGTTAGCTGACACTGAAGCCTACAGTCTTCCTTTGGGCAGGGACGAAGCTAGATGGGAGCGTCAATCATTGGCCACCCCTGTGGCCACCCCTACCATTTTCAACCCTCTAATGCATATGTGGCAGCAGTAATACTCTCAAGTGGAACATTAAAAACATTTAAATTTTTCATGTACCGGTAATAACAATTACTTGACAACAAAAGCACTGTGGTTAATTATGCACATCAATATACTAACATTAAAGATGATTTATGCAGAAATCATTCTCTAGATTTTGTGTTATATGGGGTAAACAGAAAATGATGTGTCTCTGCAAGTCATGTAGGAGTATTCAGTAAAATAATAGATCAATAATATTTTGAATAAAAACTTATTTAAAAAAATCAATTTATGTAGATATTAGTACTTATAAATATCAATTTTATGCAGAATGGTTATTGATAAAAGTAGGTAAGTAATCACAATGGAGAAGATATTTGCCTCAGAACTCAAACCTGAAAGAACTTTATCCACTATAACTTTTATCTAGATGGATGTTTAAATAATGTGTGTAATTGTTAGCAAAGGCTGTTGGAAAGTATAGTTTGTCTTTATTTAGAAAATAAGGACTTTGTGCTCGTTGTTTTTTTCTGTAGGAACAGTGTAGATTGACCCTGAGGTTCTGGCGCCTATCCACTTTTGGCCACCTCTCTGATTATTGGTTATTGCCTGGCCAATCTTGTAAAAATTTTCTGGCTACACCTCTGCTTTGGGGTAAAGTAAACTGTCTATTATTTTTATAAACACAGTTCATTTTAAAAAGTTCAAGGGGTATGCATACTACTCACAGACCCCTTGCTGCAGCTCACGACCTGCCGTAACTCCTCGCTGTAGCTACAGCACATAACAGCCTCATCATGAGAAACAGCAATGCGACCGTGATGCTTTGGCCTGACAGAACAAAAACATATTAAAGTCAGTGAAATGATATTATAATCAGGGAGGAACAGATAACTAAATAGAAAATCTGTCATGGTCTATAGTCCAGTTCATCTGAGGAACATGCTTACTGGACCTGAAAGTACCCCTGTTTCTAGGAATAAAAGAGAATTATGAGCAAAGGTAAAAAAAAACAACAAACAACCTCGACATCAAAGGGAGCACAGCTATGCAGTCTGCTGCGACGTACAGAGCTCTCATGGCTGGGGAAAAGGAGCAGGCAGTTACATCACCATGAATCCCGCTGGCTGTGGGGTCGGCTGTGAACAGGCAACACTGATCTTGAATGTGCCAAATCTGCCATGAGAGCAGGCGGAGAGCAAAGAAAGACATAAAAGTTTACAAATGGAAAAATATTTCAACTACATTGATCAACAGTACATTTTTGAATAAATGTAGTAACTGATATTCATAGGACATTAAAAAAGAATGCATAAATGTAAAGCAAAATGAAAAAAAAATGATAATTTTGAATTTTCTTTACTAAATACATCTGTAAAGCCGACTTGTACGAGTGTGCAGCCCACTTTACTCTGACACACTAATATTCAATTCAGTGTAATCATTCGCCTTCAGACATCACTTATAAAACAGAGTTTTTCTGAATGTAATCTATTGTCAGTATTAATCTAGGTGTTCTAAGGAAGCCAGGTATATATTAGGAAACTGTAGTGATAAAAAATCACCTGTAGACTGGCGGAGATAGGCATCGGTTCTACCGTGACCCTAATGGAATAAGCAGGGAAGATGGATGTATGGATGGATGGATGGATGGATGGATGTGGTGATAAAAGTAACAGTGAAAGAGCTGTTGCACAACATTGGTATAGGGGTGCTTTCTTGATGTACTGTAGCTTTAAATACTTTTTTTTAAACTGACAAAATTTGAGATAGTTTTCCAAAGCAAGTGGGACAAAATGTCAGATTTAAGATGTGCTACTGTAAGCTTGTATAGCCTAGAAAATCTGCAGGTGGGTTTGTTACGAAATTTATTTCTACAATGAATTGACTTAGGAGAGCTAGATGCCAATGCCAAAAGTCCCACTTAAGAATTTTTATTTGTGAAGAAAGAAAAGAAAAATGAATTTTATTCCTCTCCCCAGTTATATACCTCTTTATTTTTGTTTCTCCTCAATAATAAATGGAAGTCTGCATAGCGTTGCTATTATAAAATACGAAAAAAATCAAGGCTTAAGAGTTTTTTGAAAAATATCACTCAGGTTAAAAGAAGAGAGGTAGAATTCATACTAATGTCAAGATAGTGTTTTATAACTACTGGGTTGTTGCAAGAGATCTAAATAAAAAATGTGTTAGATGTTTAAGATACAATGATTGATATCATTACAGGGAAAAACATGAATCACCTTCACTGTGTTATCTGTGGAGACAGAAAAGATCTGACTGTCCTCTGATGAGATGCAGAGGGAGAAGATTGGAGCAGAGTGGCCTTTTAAAATACCATCAGGTTTCCTAAGTAGAAATAAACTAAATCAGTAGGTGGAGGTGTAAATTTAATTTTCAATCTAACGATGCTTGTCTCAGGAAAAGAACAGTTGAAGTCAGCTGCCTTACTCTGAAAAACGTGTGTTCCACAGACGAATTAATCTGTCCATGCCTCCAGTCACCAGCAAACCATCCTTCTGACAAAGGTCAAAAGCCTTTACACCTTTGTAGACAGAGAAGACGGTCTGATCCCCGGACTTGCGGATCTGTGGAGTCCAGCTTAGTTGGCGCTTCCTGTTTTTACCCTCGTAGCACACCTCTCTGATCTCCCTGAGCTGCTGTGCAGAATCTTTTAAAGGTAGCACACAGCCTAGAGAAAGGAAGGGGGTCACAGCAATACAAGAACTAGCATCAATCAAAGTGTGCTTCTGCAGCCAGAGCAGGTCATTATCAGAATAAATGACCAAGCTTGCAAGTGAACAAGCCCACATACAAGGTGATCACACTCACACACAAACATACGGACTGGCACTGATTGGTGAATTTGTGATAGATGAGTAATAGTGAGCCATCCGTCACAGCTCTCCCAGCAGCCTGCCCAATGTTCAACACTGAGCTTAATTACCTCACAGTGCAAAGAGAAGAGAGCGAATACTTTGAAAAACATGTGCTTGGGGTAGCATTGATGGTTATCGCCTGAATCTCTATATTAGCTTGGTTTCTTGTAAAAACTAAAAAAGTCAGAGGATAGAAAAAAAAATAAAACAGACTTTACCTAAAACTAGAGAAGCAGATTCTTCATTTGAAGACGAGGCAACAGCTTGAAAGCTGTGAAAATATTTGACCTACAAATAGAGAAAAAATTGTTTACATTTCTGAATTGCAACTGCTAAAATTGAAGGTTTCTATCAATTATCAAAAATAAAAGCTTTCCATTGGAAAATAAGCTCATTTATGAAAACATGAATATACAATAATAAAAGGGACTAACGCTGGCATTTCAAATACAGGTACTCAACCCCTTTGTAAGTGTTCATACTATCTTCCCTGTAAAAATTTTTAATAGTTTGAAACTTTCAATATGTATTTTTGGTTTTATGTGCAGGTCTTACAAGCAATGACTTTTATTTTGAAGGTGAGAAAATGTGTTTGGGAGCGCTAATTAGGAAGCAAGCTAAAGCAGCTCATAAACAGATGTATAATGTTTACAAATCTGTGGACTTGCCCCTCTGTTGCAGAAGCAGCTGCCAAGCTTTTTATTTTTTTAGGTCTGTACATTATGTCAGTAAGGTGTATGCAAAAAAACATGGCCTGAATAGTATTTATACTAGCCAATTTTATTTTAGATTTGTTTTTGTTTCTTATGAAAATCTTCAAACTCACCAGCGGAAAGAAAGTCTTTTTTTTATCTGTCATGAAATCACAGGCTTAACAGGTATTTTAAATTTTTAAGTCAAGATAAATATATTCAAAATCAGGATCATAAGGACTAAAACAAGCTGCTATTGGGAAAACGACCATATTCCATGAAAGAACACTTTAGTGTCCTTGTTTTTCACTCCAGAGATTGTTTCATGAAATATGGAGTAACTGGTTGCTTTAATATGTCAGAACATGCTGGCTCTGCAAAACAGATATTAAAAGATTGTATCTTAATCGTGTGACTTGCTTTAAACACTCAATACATCATTGAACAACAAAGTTGACATGTCACATTGATAAAATAGAAGGCTTTTAATCATGTCGATTATTTCTGTATGTGAGTGTATGTTTATGTGTGTGTATATGCACATTTCTGAACTGGAGATGCTACATTTTTGTAATAGTGAAATTGGCAGAAACCAGTGTCTGAGAGCAGGAAAGGAAAGATCATCTCTCTAAAAGCTGCTGTAGAACTAGGTGCCCCGACTGAATACACATAACACAGAGGTAGGGCAGCAATGAGGCACAGAAACAGGCCCAAGGCCAGAGGGGCTTAGGAAGGAACGCAGGGCACCAAACCCCTTATCCAGCCCCACTGCATCATCCTCCAGTGCAGGCCAAGCACAGAATGCAGTGTCCCTAACAGCTTGGTATCTACCAAAGACCAAAGGATAGCAGCAATAAAAAATGACTTTCCATTTTATCTGATATTTTTCTCACAAGTAAAATCCTCATAATTCCTTAGTTTACGTTTTTTACATTTTTTAAAGAAAATTATCTTCAGCATTTAGGTTTCTGATTTGGAGCTGCATATCACAGCCAGAAGGTTTTGTGGTCAGATCTGTAGAGAGGCTGCATGTTAACCTTGAGCATGCATCTTCCACCATCATAGAATGTGCATTTTGTTAATTGGCCATTGTTAATTGCCCTGGAGTATGAGAGTATGGATGCATGGCTGTTCTGAGTGCTTCTGTGTTGCCATGTGATTGACTAGCACTTTGTGTACAGTTTACCCCACCCTTTGAATATTTGCTGGAGTTTGGTATATGCATCCAACAAACAAGGTTTACGAGAATATTGAAAACAGGTGGACAAATGTTTGACCTGGCTTAGAACAGAATACAGGCAAAAGACAGAGAACAAAGAGAGCTCTTTGAAGGTGAAATAAGAGTGTGCAAGACCAGGGGAATTCCAATAAATTAAGGCCTGACAGTGCAAAACATTGTTGGCTTGACAGAATCTAGAATCCGATTAAAGGGAATACAAGGGGTTCAATTTGGAACAAATAATGATAATGGTTAGATCAAGATTACATTTGGATTCCTTCTCTTTTTTAACTCCATCTCTGAAGTCATTTTAGTAACTCATATAGTTTGGTAATAAGAAATGTAAGGGTAGAACAAAGAATAGGTGGAATCGAATGGAATAAAATAGAATAGAACGCTGTTTTTTGTCCCATAGAGAACTATTCTTTTATATGCAACTCTGGAAAACTTGCAGAGTGGGTCATTGAGGGTCTAATGCAGTGGTTCCCAACCTTTCATGACTTAAGTACCCCTTTGGGCATTTTTCTTACCATGAGTTCCCCCCTCATTCCAATGTACTGATCGTCCAAAAGTAGAACGTACAATAACTGATTATCAAATACAAGTTATTTAATTTAAACTTTTAAATTGAGAATTAAATTCTTATGCATTTTCTGCTTTACATCTCAAATAAAAAACAACATTAATATGTTGCCTGGACGTTAGTAAGGGTTTGAAATAAATACAAAATAAAATCATATAATTAACCTGTATTTATAAAAGTGGAGTTCCTCTGAGTAACTACCTTGTAATCATATTTAATCTTGATGAACTGGGAACAAAATACAGAACAAAAATTATAGTCAGACTGACTTAATTAGTTTTAAATCAAAACACCTGAGCTGCTCGGATGAGCTTCGATAGCTAAGTGTGAGAAACAGCTGAGACCAGGCTGTTCTCTTCATCCCGTCTGTTCCTCTGCTTGGTTTGGATGGTTGTCAAAACCGAAATGGAACTCAAACATATTTTTGATAAAAGCTTGATTTATTTTTCAGTTTGGTCCTCACAAAGAGAAACAGATCCCAGCCCTATTTTATTCCCTCGGAAATAAATTATTTTCATGTACTCCTTGCAATGTACTTGCAGACCACTAGGGTACGAGTACCCCCGGTTGGGAATCACTGGTTTAATGGACAAAAAGTCAAGTCAACTGTCGTTCCTAATTGTTGTGCTGGCAAGAACACAAACAGAACAAAGCATGTTTTTATTTAGGGTAAGTATTTTTTTGTTGCTTATTAAATTATTTATTTGATAATGGAATATTCTAATAAAGGACATTTTCCGTAGTACTTTATATAAATTACAATCATTAGAATGAAAACAAGCAACAGCTATATGGATCACAGATTGAAACTAGCTTAACACTACATCTGGTACAAAGCACGTTTATTGATGATAATATTCATATTGTCCCAATTAAATAAGCCAATTAACTAATGTTACTAAATGCAGAATAATATCATTAGTTTTGTATTAAATGTGCTGTATGTACTGAAGGAGCTCCACTTGGAACTGGAAATAGACTGCAAACACCTTATTTACTATGGAAACTTTATAGACACTTGTAAAATGACTGCATGATGGATCGATTATGAAAATCACAATAAAATCAGCATCTCACTTTAAAATATCAATAGACCTTTTTAAGTGGATAGGATTTTTTATATAAATGTAACTCCATATTCAAAATTAGCTTGAAATACAAAGAGAGCCAAACAGTTGCATTTTATATATTTTTTTCTTTAATCAAAATTAACAAAAAAAAATAATAAAAATCAAACAAAACATAAAACCTTACCTGGGTCACCCAGTCATTATGAACCTTCCATCTGACAAATGTTATGTTATGAGAGTGGATGGCATTTTTGATCGAAATATTAGGCACATTTCCAGCCTTTGGTAATCTGTTCCATAATCTGCAAAAAGAAAAGTTCAGCTTTGTGTGGGTGATTGGTGAAACCTGCAGAGAGGCAATGCTAGAATTTTCCATCACATACAGGTTTTCTGTGGACTTGGAAACTGCACACCCGACTATGCTTTTTATCATTAGTGGTTCTCATACCAATTTTCTATGGAGCCAGAAATAATTTCTCAGCCGTTGGAGGCATGGTGTGAGTCAAGCGACTGAGTCAACTTTTAATGGCCCATTTCATCAGTTGGTGAACACCTACCAATGTACCCTTAAATGCTTCTGGTAAAACTGCAGACTGGATGCATTAACAGTTTGAATCAAATCAAGTCATGGAGTTCACAGATAAAATTCAGACATTCAGCACAGCATGTTCTCTTAGTAATGGCTATAAATTGATCACATTCAGGAGTACTGAAGGATAACTCTTGTTCGAAGATTCTCTGTGTCTTGAAAATACAGTAGATTATTTTATATTAAAAAAGACAGTTGAAAGCGGTTCTCTATGGGCAGATTTTGAATTCAGATTGATTTTAGATCAAATTGCTGAATTAAAGGTTTTTCCTTTATTTGCATATTTCTGAGCTTTCACAGCGTGTCCTTTCAATGACCCTGATATCCAACAGCTGAAAGTCCAGAGAATAAGCCTCCTGCACCAGGCGGCATTGGCTTTTCACCTTCATAAAGGTTGTTTCTAAATTACAGATGTCTCTACAATTTTCTGGATACCAACTATTACTGCTTTTTTAATTCTTGGTATATACTTCAATTATCCAGTAAATAGTATTTTAAGTTTTTCTTTCAGTTCAACTCTATTTGTGTTGCTTTATTATGTTTTTTGTCATCTTTCATCAGAAGCTTCTGCTGGGCATCACATATCGATATTAATAAATAAATAATATATATATATATATATATAACCATGAAAACTCCGAGCAAAGGTCCTGTATCAATTCTTAAATGCAAAGATTACAAAGTTACCGTAATGTGTCCTCAGCAGTGGACAGCAATATAATGGTAACACATCCCTGGAAGCACAAACACAACAATGACTATACATTTTTACAGAAATAGACAGAGTTAAGAAAAACTGTACTAATGTAATATCACAACTATACATGTATTTTGTAATAAAGTAGAAGTAAAAATAACTTACATATTACATGAAAAAATTGAATGAGGGCAAAATTAAGTCATGATATTGTTCAAGAACTGAGAAACGGTTTATTTACATTACGCTTGATATTTTTTATTATGTTACAATTTAGTGTTTTATTATCATATGAACAAGATGCGAAAATGAATAACTTATTTACAAATTACTATTCTTCACTTTCCCTCCAAATAGCATAATAAAAGAAACACCTTAGAACAGGGGTCTTCAACAGGGGGTCCGCGACCCCTAGGGGGGCCGCAGAGGTACTGCATGGGGGTCGCGAAAGTTTTGGTTGATTACCGTATTTTCACGACCATAAGGCGCACCGTACTAAAAGGCGCACTCTCAGTTATGTGTCCCATTTCTGTATTTAACACACACATAAGGCGCACCGGACTATAGGGCGCGTTTTTTATATACCGGTACATGTCCTCTACTACCTTTAAATACCTCTACTGCGTATTTAAAAATACGAAAAACTGAGTATGACTGTGCTTTATTCATGTATTTATTACAAAGTATTAATCAAACCTGGGTGCTGGCCGTGAGACAGACACATCGCAGATGACAGTGCGCTGTGATCACTCCTAAATTAACTTAAAATCCTGAAACCTGACGACGGAATATGTTTTATTGACGGTATCCTGGTGCCTGCAGCTAAAATTATTTAGATGAAAAACACCTGCCACCGAGGTGAACCCAGAGGCTGCCCAGCCTAGAGGCTGCTGATGAATGGATTTCTCCTGTCGGTGCACCGCTGGTATGTGGGGGTCTGAGCGCCTCCGACAGAAATAGATAATCTGGATGAACTGACTGCAATTATGAAGTTTTCAGGTGGACATTCTCACTTAAAAACATATTAAAACTACTTTATTCCCACTGATCACAGCAAATATATCTGCAAGATTTAGATTATTTAGATGAAAAAACACCTGCCAGCCGCCGCGGTGAAGAGGAGGAGACACGGCCCAGAGGCTGCTGTTGAATTAAGTTTTCAGGTAGAAAAATAGAGCGGGAGCAAAACTGAGTATGATTGTGCTTTATTAATGTATTTATTACAAAGTATTAATCAAACCCATCGAAGTCATCATCCTCTGTTTCTGAATTAAACAGCTGCACTAAATCAGACATGCCAGTTTCCCCTTCTGCGCTGTCAGAGTCACTTTCCGTGCAGCGCAGCTCCTCAGAAATAATGCCTTTTGCGAAAGCTTGAACAACAGAGCCAGCAGACACGTTAGTCCATCAACAATCCATCCGCAAACGGTGGCGTAACTTGCCCGGCGCTGCCTTCCACTTATCCTGAAACTGTGGTCTCCGTCTGTCATCCATCGCTCCCACGCCGCTCGCAGCCTTACTTTGAACGGCCGGTTCACACCGATGTCGAGCGGTGGAAGTTCCTTTGTCAGACCCCCGAGATAACGGTGAGCACAGCGTTTATTTTTTTTCACCATGTTTTTCACATCAGCTGTGAGATGGGCACGCATGGAGTCACATATTAAAAGCGATGGTGATGCGTGGAAAAAAACCACCTGGTCTCCTCACATAGCCTACACCTCCCTCAGCCGCGCTTTCATCATCTCCTCCTCTATCCAGCCTTTTTCATTTGCTTTAAAATCATATGTCATCAGAGCGCTGTGTCTGTCTCGCTGTCAGCTCCCAGATCAGCTTCTCTGATTCGTTGATGCGGCGCTTCCAGCAGCAAAACTTCAATTTTTTCCATCTCGAGCAGCAGCAGCGCGTTGGCGGTGCGCTCCCGACTCGCTCAAAACGCGCTGCGGGACCTTTTGCTGCGTCTATACGCTCGTCAACCGTTGACTTTGCATGAAACCTCACTGCTTCTGCTGCACCTGCTGCGTCCGGTTCACAGCGAGCACAGCATTTATTTGTTTCACCATGTTTTTCACATCAGCTGTGAGATGGGCACGCATGGAGTCAGATTAACAGCGATGGTGTGGTGATGAGTGGAAAAAAAAACACCTGGTCTCCTTACATTCAGCCACTCTTTTATCATCTCCTCAATGAGGTGGTCTCAAAAGTCGCAGTTGCAACACACATACTGTAGGGCGCACCGCACCATAGGGCGCACCGCACATTTTGAGGAGAAAAAAAGACGTTTATGTGTGCCTTATAGTCGTGAAAATACGGTAGATATTTTTTTTCCACCCACCCCCGGGAGGTGGAAAAAACAGCAGCGTGTGGAAGCGGCATTACAACAACACGAAGACCCTCTCAAACAACATATTTAGAGAGGGCAGGACTTCACAGAGTTGAAGTCAGTGAACAAATAAGAACGAACAAAAAGAGAATAAAAGTTAAGTTAAAAAAAGCAATCTCAAAGGCTGTAACAGCTTTCCCACCCCTATTGCTGCTCTGCCAATCACGAGGCCGTATGTGACACGCTGGCTCTGTCAGGCACTGCATGAAAAGTGAGATTTTCGTCCCCGTAAACCCCCGTAAACTCCCGCAGATCTGCCTGATTTTCGTCAGTTTCCGACAATTTGCAACCCGTGCTTGTCCGCGTTTGTCGTGCCACAAATTGTCGGAAACGGACAGTGACGTAGGTGGAGAGCGATCAGCTGTACTAATGGCCCTAATTAGCATATGAATGCAGTAAACCCGCGCGGCTGGCCAGGTCTGGCTTGAATAACCTTCTCAGCATTGGCTGAAACCACTATTCTCAAACAAATGAAATCGCTCGTGATTGGCAGCAAAACCACACGTGGCCACGCCAGGCTTTAATTTTCTTACTGAGTATTGGACGGAACCACTTCCTTTTAAACAAGTAAAGTCGCTCGTGATTGGTTGGCATATATATATATATTTACATATATATATTTATTCATATATATATATATTTATTCATTCATATATATATATTCATATATTTATTCATTCATATGCTGTGTATTTATGTTATCCTACACTACTACACAATTATTATGCTACCATCAAGGACATGAATGAATTTATACAGGAAATGAAGATTTGCCAGGAAGCTGTTTATGCAAAGAAAGAGCTTTATTAAAACACACACAACGCGTATCCAAACACATGCGTATCTAAAAATTACAACTCCGTGAACGGTCCGTTTGCTTCCTCGGGGTTGGAGGTAACAGGCAGCATTCCCTCCGAGGCAGGTCCGATGTGCAGACGCCTACTGTGCGTGGCCTTGTACTTCGACATCGCTTCTAACCGGGACTGCAGCTTAACACAGAGTTCAGTGAGATCCGGCCTACGAAATGGCGGCGACCGTACAATCCATCCAGAGACACCGCCAACGACGCCTTCTTCTTCGTCGGACATGAGGTCGACGGTGGCGGACTCATCTGCCAGCACACTCTGCCTCGCCTTCAGCAGCTGAAAAAAAAAAAAACATGAATCAGCGCACTGCATATGGACACAACACATCTATCAATGCAGCTGAAAAATAGTCACCAAATAAAGTCTTACCCTCTTTCTTCTGGCCCGACTCCGAGCAGATAGCCTGGCAGCCTCCGCACGTAGCGTGCTAGCTAGCAGCGTGTATCTGAAGCTCCTGCATACCGTCTCATAATACGTCTTACAGGCAGCTGGAAAACAATTAAATGAGAGTGGTATGAATAAAAAAATAAAAAAATCAAACGCAAGTCACAGTAACAAGGAAGGAGAAAACATTAAAACAAGTCACTTACACACAATGTCGTCTTTATCAACATCGTGCAAATCCGAGCAAATAGGAGGTCACCGCCTCATTGTGAGGCGACTGTAGTCTGTGAAAAAAAAAAAAAAGTACAGCTGTGGTCGGTATCCATCCGTATCCATGTCCTTTTACCGCAGAATGAAAGCATATTCTTTAAACCTTACCCCTGCCGGTTCATAGCGCCTGCAATTAGTCTCCGAGTTGTTAAGACGGCATAATGCTTCCTGTGAATCACAAAAAATACACTTTAGTAAAGCTTTAGGCTAGGCTGCTTTTAGCTTACCTAGCTAGGCTAGGTTGTCTTTAGCTTGCCTAGCTAAGCTAGGCTGCTTTTAGCATAGCTACGAACATATATTTACCGCTAGCGTGGCGTTGTGCACCCGTCTTCTCTTCCTCGAGTTCGTATATAGCCTACCGCAAAGTTGCTCGACTGCAGATAGGGTGGCCAGATGTCCGGCTTTAGGGCGGACAGTCCGGATTTTCATTGCACTGTCCGGCGTCCGGCGCTGCACCCAGCCGGACGTGTATTTGTCCTCCTTTACCCCCAGATTCCACATACTCCGTCAGCGCTCCGCCCCGCTCACGTACGGAGTACTTGTCTGTCTTCTTCTTCTTCTTGTCGAGTTTTATGGCGGTTGGCAACAAACTGTTAGTAGCATTACCGCCACTTACTGGTATGGAGTGTGGTTTAATGGTTTAAATATTGATCCTGATACATTCTACCCTAACTTCTTCTAAGCATACATTCACACATTCACACTTAAAAATATAAACATATTTGTGCACAGCTTTGTATATCATTCCTTCACTCACAAACACACTTACTATAATTAAATTCTATGGAATAATTTCGTTTTCTTTAGAAATCGAATAATTATTTGTATGTGTTTACTCCCTAAATTTTTCCTCAGTATATCTAATAAATTAACCTTCTCCTTAATGTCTTCAAACTCTCTTCTCATATATCTTCTCTCTTTTTCATATTTATGACATTCTAATATAACATGTTCTATGGTTTCATATTTATCACAGAAATCACATTTGCCCGTTTTATGTTTTTGTATTTTAAAAAGTGTATAATTAAGTCCTGTATGACCAAATCTTAACCTTGTTATCACTCTTTCATCCTTTCTATTTCTTCTTCCATTTCTTCTTTCTCCTACCATCTTCTGAATTTTATAAAACCATCTTCCTTTTTTATCTTCATCCCACCTTTTTTGCCAAATTTCCATAAGTTTCTCTTTAATAATACTCTTTCCTTCTGATTTACTTATTTTAACTATAAAACTAATAGAATGTTTAATTGCCCTTTTTGCCATTTTATCTGCCCTCTCGTTTCCTTCCACCCCAATATGTGCTGGAACCCACACAAATGTAACTATCAGCCCCATGTTTCGTATTCTGAACAGTGTATGATTTATTTCTTTTTTTTTTTTTTTATAACTTTATTTTTATTTTAATCGTTATTAACAAACAATACATAGAAACTATAATAGACAAAAAGTACAGAACAATCGAAGCAAAAAACAAAAAAACAGGGGGAGACTCATATTTTAGTAACTCAAAACACATGGGGACCATCCATTTCCAAAATTAGTCCGGTATCGTTGATGTGAAGTTTGTCCATTTTTCCCATTTGTCTAAGCCAGGGGTCTGCAACCTACGGCTCCGGAGCCACATGTGGCTCTTTGGACCCTCTGCAGCGACTCTTAATAGTGACTAAAATGTATATAAAGAGCTAAATAATACGCTATGAAATAAATACCAGTCTTAAAAGCTTTAATGGTTTTTATACGATGGATAAGGATGAAATTAAAAGAACCGGAAATATTTTTTAGAGCCATTTTTTCTTTTAATTAGCTTGGAATTTATGTGTTTTAATACTATTTTAAAAACTAAAATTACAAACACTGTTAGTTGTTTAAGATGACGACTAATTTCCTATACCAGATAATAACAAAAAAAAAAACAGATAGGTTTTTTTTTTTTAAAGTCATAACTTCGTGTCTCCAAACAAGTTTTACTTGGTCTGACCCCGGGGAAAATGGCTCTTTGGTTATGAAAGGTTGCAGACCCCTGGTCTAAGCATTGCTGCTCCTGCGTCCTCAGCCTATGTGTTAGAAGCTCCATCTCAAATAGTGAAATCACAGTCTGTATCCACTCCTTTGTGGTAGGAGGTTCAGATTTGCACCACCTCCTGGTTATCACCTTTTTAGCTGCCACCAACAGAATTTTTAACAAATAACAATCATTATTAAATATGATATTGTCCAAAAGACCAAGGTATAATACCAGACCGGACTTGGGTATTGGGTAGCCCAGTATTGTTACAATCTTACTGTGTATTTCGTTCCAGAACTGATCATTTTAGGACAAAGCCAGAACATATGCGCGTGATTAACATTAAATTCTCCACAATCTCTCCAGCATGGCTGAGCTCTAGATTTGAATTTACTAGTAATTTTGGGTGTTATATAAAATCTGATTATATTCTTCCAACAATGTTCTCTCCAGATTCTGGAAGAGGATGTTGTAGTTTGGGTCTTCCAAATATTCAGCCAGCCTTCGTCGGTTATTAGAATAAGTGTATGATTTATTTCTAATAAAATGTCCATCCTACTATCTGTATTACTTGTCTGTCATGTAAATCAATGAGAGCTGTTCCACATCCTCCGCTCGTCACCGCCCACGTACGTCTTCTCCGTCCTTCACCGTCAAAATACGGAGCTGAGCTATTTTTTGCTCCCCTCCGGTCCGTCCAGACCGTCAAGACCCGCTATTGCAATCGCACCAAACAGAAAAAAGAATGTAGAGAAGACCCGGTTTGTCAAATTAAATTATAGTAAAAACAGATCGGTATCTAGAAATTAGAGCATAGTTTGTATATATTCCCAAAAACTAAAACAATAAATTTAGATTTTATTTCCTGGCAAAACATTCAATTCGGTTTATCCATTAAAGAAAAAAAAATTTGGAATTTTTAATCAATATTCTAATAATTGTAACAAAGTATTATATCCATAAATGTCGCTATGCAAAATGCTCCCTCTCAATCTCTGCTCTCAAAAATGAACTTTCCCTTTTCAAAAGATGTCTGAGAAAGATGCAGAATTTAAATGCAATTAAATTGTTTGAGTTAATTGAAGAATTTCAGTTGGTAGTCCCCACTGATTAATATACTTTAACTACTATTATTATTTTATTTATTTTTATTTATTTTATTTTATTTTATACTTTGTTCCAGCCTGTGCATTTAATTTTATTTTTCAAAAGCAGGAGTTGTGATATTTCTTCTTGTATTGAAATATTTGTTATTGACTTGTTATTTGAGATTGTTATTGTTTTCTTATATATTCAATAACAAAAAAAAAAAAGTGGAAATCTAAAAAAAGAAAATTAACCATTACAGCCAACTGATTCTGATTAAAACTAATTTTTGAAGTAAATTATTTTGTGTATTTTTTTTACATAACATTTGCATACACAGTAATCTAGCGTACTTTAATTAAATAAATCAATTCAAGCTAAAATGTAAGAGTCTATAATTAGGCTATACTGAGCCTGATCTATTTCTACCATCTATTTGGGGGATATTTATTGCCACACTTTGGGCCACTTAAAACCAATTTAGCATGCTGACCTATGTCCTTATGATCACAGTGTACCAATCTTCTGATGGCTACTTCCAACAGGATAATGCGCCATGTTATAAAGTGAATCATCTCAGAATCATTTCTTGAAACTTTTCCACTTAAGTAATTGTGAATTGAGCATATTGACAGACAACATTTTATTTTTTATCTTAAATGCAAATTTAAAAAAAAATAATTACTGCTCTAAATGTATTGCTCTGTCAGCTAAAGATCTGTTTTGGTCTCTATACTTTAATTAAATAAATCAATTCAAGCTAAAATGTAAGAGGCTATACCTGATCTCTTTGTATCAGAGATTTTCTTACCCAGGGTTGCAGGGGGGGGTAAAACCCCCCCTGCAACCCTGGTTTGCATTTGTATAGCTCACAGCATGTTCATTTACATGTTAAAGCCTCCCCTAGAATTCCATGGGGGGGAGGCATGGGGGGAACACTGCCTAAGAAATTCCACGTCAATTTCTGACAATTTACGGGAGTTTTCGTCGAAGCCTGCAAATTGCCGTATACTGCCGCTAACCTGAAGTTCCACGACAATCTACAGTGCCGTATATTGACGAAAATCCCACTTTTCATGCAGTGAGGTTCCCTGTGATTGGCCGAGAGCCCATTCTTATACAATTTTATACAATATATATAATTAGGGGGTCCCCGATCCATCTCGCCATCAGTTTGGGGGTCCTTGGCCTGGAAAACGTTGAAGACCCATGCCTTAGAAGTTTCACTTTATTATATCTTTATGTTTGATTTAGATAAGCGTGTGATTTAATTAGGTTTTGAAAACAAACTGACCTCCATGTCTCCATATACAAAACAGCATTTATCTGTCCCAGCTTGACTGCATTAAAGACAAAAAATCATGATGAAATATATTAGGTAGATTACTGCGGAAACATGTCAAAACGTTTCTTCTCCAGCTCACCCATAGTCTAAAGTCAAAGGTATTGTTTCCAAGCCACTGATTTGACAATAAGGTTCTAATGTGGAAAGTTCATAGAACTGAATCTCACCATCCCTAAAAAAAAAAAAAAAAAAAGGATTTAGGAACAATAAATGTAAGCCCAACTTCTTGTTAATAAAAGCATTCATTGAAGTAATCATGAAGTCCTCACCCTGTTCCAGTCATCAGCTTGCTGTACTCTGACATTAGAGCGAAATCAGTTACCCACTTTGACCTTGTATTGAGAAGTCCCTTGTTCTAGAAAAATTGACAAATTTCTTTATGTGAATATAAGGATCAATTAATTTTGGTTGTTTGTCATGATGTATTTACAATACCTGTACTTTTCTCCATAACTAGATTTATTAACTTGCTCAGGGAAAGGATAAAAAACTAATTACAGTATATTTTATTAGGAATCTGTCAAAAAGGCTTAAATGTACATGAATTAGCCAATGGTTTATACAGTAGACATAGGAAAACCATGGGAAAGCAACAAACTAAAATCATCAATGTTTTGGCTACATAAATAACAAAAAAAAAAAACAACACCTAAACTTTGGAAAGACGCCAACAAAACATATCAAAAACTTTTCTACTGATTCTCAGTTAACTCTTCTGGGATGAGATACTGTACAGAGTAAAGGTTCAAATGACCAAACCACAGTATTTTACATATATAGTGAAATTGTATTACGGTAATTACACTATATTGCCAAAAGTATTTGCTCACCTGCCTTGACTCACATATGAGCTTAAGTGACATCCCGTTCCTAATCCATAGGGTTCAATATGACGTCGGTCCACCCTTTGCAGCTAGAACAGCTTCAACTCTTCTGGGAAGGCTGTCCACAAGGTTTAGGAGTGTGTTTATGGGAATTTTTGACCATTCTTCCAGAAGCGCATTTGTGAGGTCGCACACTGATGTTGGACGAGAAGGCCTGGCTCTCAGTCTCCGCTCTAATTCATCCCAAAGGTGTTCTATCGGGTTGAGGTCAGGACTCTGTGCAGGCCAGTCAAGTTCATCCACACCAGACTCTGTCATCCATGTCTTTATGGACCTTGCTTTGTGCACTGGTGCACAGTCATGTTGGAAGAGGAAGGGGCCAGCTCCAAACTGTTCCCACAAAGTTGGGAGCATGGAATTGTCCAAAATGTCTTGGTATGCTGAAGCATTCAGAGTTCCTTTCACTGGAACTAAGGGGCCAACCCCAGCTCCTGAAAAACAACCTCACACCATAATCCCCCCTCCACCAAACTTTACACTTGGCACAATGCAGTCAGACAAGTACCGTTCTCCTGGCAACCGCCAAACCCAGACCCGTCCATCAGATTGCCAGATGGAGAAGCGCGATTCGTCACTCCAGAGAACGCGTCTCCACTGCTCTAGAGTCCAGTGGCGGCGTGCTTTACACCACCGCATCCGACGCTTTGCATTGCACTTGGTGATGTATGGCTTGGATGCAGCTGCTCGACCATGGAAACCCATTCCATGAAGCTCTCTGCGCACTGTTCTTGAGCTAATCTGAAGGCCACATGAAGTTTGGAGGTCTGTAGTGATTGACTCTGCAGAAAGTTGGCGACCTCTTCGCACTATGCGCGTCAGCATCCGCTGACCCCGCTCCGTCAGTTTACGTGGCCTACCTCTTCGTGGCTGAGTTGCTGTCGTTCCCAAACACTTCCATTTTCTTATAATACAGCTGACAGTTGACTGTGGAATATTTAGGAGCGAGGAAATTTCACGACTGGATTTGTTGCACAGGTGGCATCCTATCACAGTTCCACGCTGGAATTCACTGAGCTCCTGAGAGCGACCCATTCTTTCACAAATGTTTGTAAAAACAGTCTGCATGCCTAGGTGCTTGAATTTATACACCTGTGGCCATGGAAGTGATTGGAACACCTGATTCCAATAATTTGGATGGGTGAGCAAATACTTTTGGCAATATAGTGTAGCTCCAGCCCACTGATGAGGCTAAATTCTTTAGACTAAGAGTAACTTTAAAAAGGTAACAAAATTAAAGCAGGTATTAAACATTGTGTTTTTTAAGGTCTGAGGTAAAAATTTACTGAAATAAAAACTTGAATACATCAGTGTTTTTAATTGATATGTAACTTAACTTAATTAACTTTTTATTTTTTATGGATTTTTAGTTGCATTTTATTTTTTCTTTAGTTGTTTAAGGAAAATATGGGGGGAAAAACAATAAATGAATGTACAAACATTCCAAAAACATTTCTCAAAATTAGTACATACAAACATGTGCTTCATCCTCTGAGGTTTCAGTTCGGGACTACACTGACAAACGAACCCGTCCTCTCTCACTGTTAACACGGTCCCTTCGTGGGTGGAGTGGATGTTGACTATAGGAACGCTGTTAACACCATCGCTCATGGTGGCTGGCAAATTAAAGGTCACCTGCTTGCTGCGTCTCAAAGTTTCCTCCTTTGCCTTATACTGCTCCAGCAGATAGGTGGAGAACTCCATCTGAATAATAACACATCACATCCCTCTTTGTACTTTCAAAATGTGGGGATTTAGTTACATTGCATACAGAAAAGCACTAATCTCCATTGATCACAAATAAGAGAAAAAATGGAAATCATTTAAAGCACATGACATGTTCATCCCACCACTAAAAGCTTTCAAGGCAGTTGCTTATATTGATTCAATTGGCAGTATAAAGGCAGCCACATCCTAAGGCTCTATACTGATGTGCATTCTTGTTACACCTTCATTAATTAATCCTGCATTCAATATTGTTTCTAAGACTTCTACAAATTCCTTTTCTTTTCAAGTGTGCTCCATTACACAAATAGAAGTTGAATATAACTCACCCATGAAATCCTTCCTTGATCTGAGTAATCAACTTTTTTAAACAAACTATGAATCTGCTCATTGTTCTGTGAAATGGAAAAATGACAGAAATAAACTTTGATGCAACCGCAAACTGCAAAACATTACAGGGTTTTTATCTTATGTACAAACACAAACTAAATTCCTATTTTCATTTATAACTAAAAATCAGGATAGATTTGCATTTGTAATATGCTCAACAATAGAAATATCTTTCTCTGCAATTAAAACAGCCAGCTTTTTAGGGTCAATGTCTTCACCAGATTTTGAATCCTGGACATTATTTTTCCTCTTTAACATTTTTACCGCCTTGCCAACCTCCATTTTTGATTAACAGATGGTCAACCATGTGATTCACCAAGCGGTTAACGGGTTAAAATAGCTCAAACATAGTCAATTAAATGGAGATCATATAGAAAGCAATCCCCAGCTTTAAGAATAAAACAAAATTTGTGCCATTCCAGTATTTAGCAATCCATTGTATACTGTATCTGGCTGTGTGTTTAGGGTTATTCTGCTGCTGAAACATTCAAACCAACCTCAAGTCTTTTGCCACCACTAACAGCATTTAGCTAAATATACCTTGCCATCAGTTCTAGTTTTCTGCCACAAAGGATTTTGAATGAGAGCCAGGTTTGAGCTTGTCTGAACAGAGCACATTCTTCAGCTATTGGCTGCGTTCCCTACATGGCCTGTGGAAAATGTCAATAATGTGGGGTTACTTTCAGTAAGGGTTTCCTTCTGTTGATCACTGCATTTCCTTTAGGTTTATTTCTGAGCATCTTTCTGCTTTTACTGACTAATGCCCAAGCCTTAATATAAATACTGTTCTAAAATCCTTTACTTCTTCAGATGATCAATTTAACAGTGTTCTGTGAGACTGTAATATTATTTCATAACCTAAGCCAAAGTTTTAGATGGGAAATTATGCCTAAATAATAATAAAACATAGTTATCGTCTTACCACGATTGGTTTGTCCAAATGCTTTTTCATTATGCGTACAAAATTCTCCACATCAGCGTATCCTCTCCCCCTCACATCACATTCCTTAATGTAAAAAACAGAATTAATAGAACATTTTCACAATAACTGCTGATAAAAATTTAAAGGTAAAATCTCAATAGTACCTCAAATGCTAATTTCAGTTGATGGAGATTATGTAGTGAAATCCTTTCATTGATCTTAAAATGACAAGAGAAACAGAGACATGAATTCCTCGCATTTGAACAGATAACTTCATGAAGCACCTAAGGCACTTGGATGACTATCTATTTTAGGTTCACACAAATTCACTCAGCAGGCAGTTCGTAAAGTTGGAGTGCTACAGAAGGAATAAATTACTGCTTTTTTATAATGAAAATCAGGAAATATGATGAGGGCTTCACCTTTGCATACCAACGACCCTGACAACTGCATCAGAGCCCTCAGCCAAAAGCAGGCCACGCTCTTTGAGTTAACAACTCTTCTAAGTTTTTCAGCAGTTTCCTAGCAACTGGTCCTTCATCCTGGAAGCCGTTTGATCTACCATTAATAAATAACATGGATAAACAACTTAATTCCTCAGGGATGCAACTAGAACTGAAGTTTCCCCACGGTATTCCCTGAATTTGTAAGATAACTGTTTAATCAGTCAGAGTGATGGAAATGGTAAGAGCATTCGCATAACCTCGACTGCTTCTCAAATCCCTTCATAAGAGATGCATAACTTTGAACTCCTGAGCCTGCTCCTCTTAATCTGTTATGGCACATTGCTTGCTACATTAAGCAAGAGAGTGTGACTGAAATTTGCAAAGGAAACCTGGAAACTTGAGACAGTGAATTGGCAACCCACCCTTCTGCATAATTTTATCATTCTTGTCAGTTTAAACCTCAAATTTAAATTTTCTGGGAAACATTTTTATATAGCTGGCTCAGCTGCAGCTGGAAATGCTTTGGAACTTTGGGAAGATTTCCCCGCCCGATGTACTGTCAGGCTGTGTTTAAACTGATCGTGAACTTTATTTATGTAAATTAGCAAAGCATTATTATTGTATTTTTCTGGGAAAATGAGGCTAAGCAGGCGAATAGAAGCACTGCAATATAACGGTGACATCTTCTGGTTAAAAGTTGCATTTCTGCAAAAGAGGGTTCATATGAGGACTAAGTAGAAGCAATACTGGTAATACTTAAATAGTAAAACAGTTCTAGGACAGAGATACTGATATTCTTTTGATCAATTGGAAACTGCACCTCAAAGCTGTGAGCTTCTCCTTCATGTGAAACAAAGAGACTGTCGTTGTGTTCCAGCTGGGCTCGGCATTCCCGTTCAAGCCTCTTATTGTCCTCTCCAAAATCGGATAAACGTGGAGCTGAAATATCCTTTGCTTTCTCCAGATGACCTGCAGGTGTTTTCCTCATCCTGTCCTCCATAGCTCCCAGTTTAGAGTGGATTCTGCAGGATTTCACATCATGATCAGATTAACGTTTGTATCTTCCTATGTATTAACTCTTCTTTACAGAAAATGAAAGAAATTCATGCCAGAAGCCTGTGTGATTTTCGACCTTTCTTGAGGACATTGAGTCTTTCATTAATGAAATAGAGCAGAACTATTCATGCCCCTAAAACCTTTAAAACATTTTGTCATGCAAGACAAAGAAAGGCTTGTGTTAACACAGGGTTTTATGTACTCAACAGAAAATACTTCATTTGAAATTAACTGAAAAGGACACTATATTTACTTTCTCTGTTTTTTTTTTTTTTTGTTTTTTTTTTTTTTTTTTTTTTTACAAAATTAATAAATATCTACGGGGGCACAAAAAGTATTTAGTAAGCCACTGATTGTGCAAGTTGTCCTACTCAGAATAATAAGAGAGGTCTGTAATTGTCATCATAGGTACACTTCAACTATGAGAGATGAAGTGAGAGAAAAAAATCCAGGAAATCACACATTTTTAAATAATTTATTTGTAAATTATGGTGAAAGTAAGTAATTGTTTAATAACTAAAGTTCAACTCAATACTTTGTAACATAACCTTTGTTGGCAATGACAGAGGTCTTCACCAGGTTTGCATACACTGTATTTTGGCCCAATTCTCCATGCAGATCTCCTCTAGAGCAGCGACGTTTCGGGGCTGTCGCTGGGCAACACAGACTTTCGACTCCCTCCATAAATTTTCTATGGGGTTGAGGTCTTGTGACTGCCTAGGCCACTCCAGGACCTTGAAATTATTTTTACGGAGCCACTCCTTCATTGCCCATTCTGTGTGTTCGGGATCATTGTCATGCTGGAAGATCCAGCCACGTTTCATCTTCAAGGCACCCACTGATGGAAGGAGGTTTTGGCTTAAAATCTAACGATACATGGCCTGATGTTTCTCCCCCAATGCTTCACAGTAGGTATGCTATTCTTGGGATGCAACTCTGCATTCTTCTTCCTCCAAACACGACAAGTTGCGTTTTTACAAACACGTTTTATTTTGGTTTCATTTGACCACATGACATTCTCCCAATCCTCTTCTGGATCATCCATATGCCCTCTGGCAAACATCAGGCAAGCCTCGACATTTACTGGCTTGAGCAGGGGGACATGTCTAGCACTGCAAGATTTGAGTCCCTCTCGGCACAGTGTGTGTTTCCTTATGGTAGCCTTTATTACTTTGTCCCCAGCTCTCTGTAGGTCATTCATCAATCCCTTCCATGTAGTTCTGGGATTTTTGCTCACCATTTCATTATCATTTTGACCCCAACGGGATAAGATCTTGCATGGAACCCGAGATCGAGGGAGATTATCAGTGGTCTTGTATGTCTTCCATTTTCTTACAATTGCTCCCAGAGCTGATTTTTTCACACCAAGTTGCTTGCCTATTGTAGATTCACTCTTCCAAGCCAGGTGCAGGTCTGCATTGTTCTTTCTAATGTCCTTTGACAGCTCTTTGGTCTTGGCAGTGGTTGAGTTTGGAGTGTGCCTGTTTGAGGCTGCGGACAGGTGTCTATTGTACAGATAACATGTTCAAAGAGGTGCCAATTATACAGGTAATAGGCGGAGGACAGAATAGCTTCTTAAAGAGGAAGTTACAGATCTGTGAGAGCCAGAAATCTTGCTGGTTTGTGGGTGACCAAATACTTATTTTCCACCATAATTTACAAATGTACTCTTTAGAAATCCTACAATGTGCTTCCCTGGATTTATTTTTCTATTTTTGTCTCTCATAGTTGAAGTGTACCTATGATGAAAATTACAGACCTCTCTCATTATTCGAAGTAGAAGAACTTGCACAATCAGAGGCAGACTAAATACTCTTTGGCCCCACTGTAAAACATGTAGTGGGCTTTTGCAGAAAGAAAACAACTCTAAAAATGTATCATATGTATGCACCAGGGTAACTGGAACTAAACAATGGGTTAAAATATACAGCACAGTGGCAAATCTTGAACATTCCACAGGTCTTGAAAGGCTAGGCTACAAAAAATAAATAAATTTCATACATAAAGCCTGTTTTATCTTTTAATAGGGAATAGTAGGAGTGAGGCATGATAATAAACCAACCAAGACATGGCTGTCCACCCAATCAAACAGCTTGAACAAGGAGAGATTTAATCAGAGAGCCTCTGGTCCTTTAACATCTCATTAAAATACATATTAGGTTCATGGATATACAACAAAATATTTTTGCAAGAAACTTCCATAACAATTTACTGGACACTAAACTTCCAAGATGTTGTTTACTGTTTTAGGATCCATGACAACAGTAAAAATTTCCTAAGAATTTATGAGAAGCAGAATAAGGCCTGAATTTTTTTTTGTTTTATCTTCTGATGAAATCAAATTCTAATCAGAAACACAAAGAAAATCTTACATATGATTTAAAACATTATGAGAATAAAGAATACCTGGTTTGCGCGCTGATCTTCCTTAAATCTTAAAAAATTAACACTTTTTTCTCCAGTGCGGTTCCTAAAATTAAGTATGATCCTTAAAACTTAAGGGTCATTTTGAGCAAAAAACTGAAGATGAAAAATGTCTCAGTCCATCCACCAAACACTAGACAGGGATATTCGACATTTGTCTACCTGACACTGGCTCTAGCATTACACCTAAACAAAGCAGGTGTTAGATGGTAACTAAGAAACCAAAAGTGACAACTGAAACCACAAAAGTCAAACCATGGCATCTGCACATACTGAGGGAGGCATTGTAACCATCATGCTGTAGTTGAAACCTCAGAATACATTAAAGAGCTTAAAATGGGATTTATTTTTCTTTCTATATGCATTCATGAAGCTTTCTTACAGCTATGCCAATCACGTTAAATAAACACACATGGTAGAAAATCTGAAAATAGGCTTTCATTTTAGAGGAGAAAAAAAAAACAGAATAAAATTCTAGTTATGTTGGCACACAGCCAAAGGTAGAAATTATAAAAACATCATCTTATCCAATGCATATTTTAGATAGAAACCTTTCAAAAAGTAAAAAGTTGTGAATAAATAGATAATCAAAGTTTGACTGTCTCCCAGTACTACTCAGTTGGAATAGTCCTAACACAAAGTCAACGATTTATTGTCATGGTTTTGCACTTTTTGGTTCTTTTTAAGTTTCTTTTTGAGTTGTAATATGTTTCATTTCCATTTTGTGTTGTTTTCTGGTTGTATTTGAGTTCTTATGTATTTCTTGTTTACCCTCTAGATTCTTCTGTCCACACCTGCTCACAATCAGTTCCTTACAGTCTTTGCTCTGTTTGACACATAAACACCTCCTCTTCTGTTTGCTGGTTTCTCGTTGTTTCTTAGCTCCTCCTCGTGTATGTTTTCCCTCACGCCTCCTGGTTTTCTCTGTTTTGTTATGTTTCTGGATTTTTGCCTCAGTTGCCACCCTTTGAAATATTAATTCTGCAAGAAACCACTTCAGTTTCCGTCTCTGCATTTGGGTCCTCTTTAAACCTCCACACAACCTGACACTTCTGTTCCTTTTCCTTCTCAATCTCCATAGTTAATCTACATGTTATCCTGCTCACGTGTGCTTCACACATTGATCTCACATCAGCAAAAGCTCTTCAGCTGAAAATCTCAACAAAAGACACTACTGCTAGGATACAAGGTATGAATTCAAATAGGATGGGGAGGGGGCTGTCTTTAAACACTAGGTGTCATTATTTCTTATTTCTACTTTACAGACCATCAGCATCATGTTTCTTTTCTGTCTAAGAATCAAAAATTGTTTGTCCTAGTAATTGTAAAGAACTTGACACCGTGACTGTTATTTCTACTAGGGCTAAAACTATTAATCGAATTAATCGTGATTAATCGATTATTAAAGAATTGTCAACTATTTTAGTAACTGATTAATCGACAATCGACTGGAGAATAAGATAGACTCTAAACGTGTCTTTAGCTGACAGAGTGACCCACTTAGAGGAGTAATTAAATTAAAATATGCATGTAATATTTTGCATTTAAGATAAAAAAAAAAAAAAAGTTTTTTTCTATCAGGATGCTCTATCCAGAACTCCTCAAGTGAAAAAGTTTTAGTTTCACCTGGTTTAATTCAGTAAAAAATCTTCTTTAAGGAACCATTTCCTATCTGATTATTGATCGATTAATAAAAAAAAAACAAAAAAAAAACAGATTAATTGATCAGAAAAATTAGTAAAAATATCGAAGTCTTTTGTTTTATTCATCCACTCCTTTATGTCAATTCTTAATACCTTTATAGTAATAATACCTTTCACCTAAGTTGTACCTGCAAGTCTTTTGTAGTGAATATCTAATAGCTTTATACATCTAATCTGAAATTCTTCCCATTTCTTCTACGCAAAAGGCTCTGGTTCAGTCACTTAGGATTGGAACATCAGAAACCTTCATCTTTAAAGTCTTGGCACAAACTTTCCATTAGCCTCAGGTATTCACATTGCCAGGGGTGTTATAACACATGAATATACCTTGCTCTGAATAATGCCTTTGTAACTCTCGTCAGTTCCTTCAGTTTACCTCGTTTCTACTGAAGAACATGATACACACAGCAACACGCTACCAACACAATGTTTTACTTTGGGGATTGTGTATAAATGTTTTAAGTTTTGTGTCTCGACTGGCTTATCTGTTTATATGTACAGCCACGTGTTGGTTAATCTTTCCATTTTTGGATGGTGGAATGAACAATGATCCTTGAGATATTGAAAGCTTGGGATAGTGTTTAATTTGTTATGTAAAGAAATTTAAAAATGTTTAAGCTGTATCAATTTTGCTAATAAAGTTGAAATTAATTCCATAAACTTTCCAGGCTTATTTTAAGGCAGATACAGTGATCAGGGGTTCTGTAAAAAAAATAGTTCTCTTTTTTTCCCATCTGATTTTCTGGACAAGCTCTCCTTAACAGAACTAAACATTTGGATCACTTCACACTTACTTTTGCTTTCTTACACTGGTATTAAGGCTGTTTTAGTATTGATTTGAAAATGCATTATTCTATTTTTAGTCTCCGTTCCACCAAAGTATCTTGCAGATCTTCTTAATGCCTAAAAATCATATAGACTTTGAAGATGCTCAAACTAAAAAAAAAAAAACACACACCAAAGCTAAGGGACACTGTCTCACATTCAAGTTAGATTCCAAAAGAAATAATTCAACTCCTAAAACAAAATACTTTAAATAGACTTCCTTTACTAATTGAGAATGTCACTCGTTTTTGATAGGTTTGATTGCTTACATACAGGTTTAACTTGACAATGTTATATTAAAGATAAATAATTCACAAATAGCTTTTTTATTTTATATTTTTCCCTTAAAAGAAACAGCCTTTTCCTGTATAAATGTGTCTAAACAGTCTCTTTGGACTATGGCAATTTTGAAATTGAAGGAAGCCCTGCATGTATAACTCCATCATGATGTGTTTTAACACTAGTTGTCTGGAGCTTCAACCACTGGATGCCTGCTGTGTGCAGCTCCAGCATTAATAATTCAGAACAATCACAACCATGGTATTGAGTGTAGTATGGGCATAGAGAGAATTAGCTTTGACAAGAACAATGTAATCCTATTTCTGCTGAGAATAATTAAACAAACATTTTGAAACAAATGATTATGATATCAAAATGATGGTTACCGACACCCTTTTTGACAAAACACTCTTAAATCTGCAGTTGTGAGAGAAGTCAGAATTCATCCATCCATCCATCCATCCATCCATCCATCCATCCATCCATCCATCCATCCATCCATCCATCCATCCATCCATACATACATACATACATACATACATACATACATACATACATACATACATACATACATACGTACATACATACATCCATACATACATCCATCCATACATCCATCTTCAAGTTGTGTCAATTTTTATTTATTTCCTTATTATTAGCATAGTCTGACATCCTTTTTTCTCTGATAAAAAGAGTAGGCCTATATTTTTAGGATTCAAGTCAAAGTAAATTATGATTACTCAGGAGATAATTCTGATCTACAGACTCTGAAGCTTGAGATAATGTCACCAAATTAGTTTTACTAACATTCTGTTTAGTTTGCTTTGCTAAAACAGTATTTATCGGACACATTTCAGGGACAGGTGGTGCAAAGCGGGGACTGTCCCCGGAAATCCGGGGTGTCTGGTCACCTTACTAGCAGTAGTAATTTATCTTTTTGTTTTTATTTATTTTCTCATTTCAATAGTTTTGTACTGGGTTGTTCCTTCTACTGTTACAAATAAAATAATTATTTTAAATCAAACTGTATCTATTTTTTTTTTTTTTTTTTTTTTTTTTATGTGTCCTCTTACTTACAAGCACTGAAGGGCCATTCAAACTTGGATAATGTCTCCCACCCCATGCATAAAGCTGTTGCAGAACTGGAGTGCTCCTTCAGTGACAGACTGCTGCAGCCTAAATGCACCAGGGAGAGTCATCACAGATCCTTCCTCCCAGCTGATGTATGACTCTATAATCACTGTTCCCAACAACCTACATTAAGTTCTTACTTTCATGCTAATTTTACAGTTTCTACCTTAGTCAGTTAAATAATACGCTGGTGTCCATTTACACATCTCTGCTGATGTTGCTGCTATTTTCCAATATCCATTACTGGAAAAAATTTCCATAGCTGTATATTGGTTATTTATTCAGGTGCAAAGTTTTACATTGTTAAAACGCTTAACAGTTCAGTATTTTATTGTTTATTTTTTACCTCTTCACTATTATGCTATTCTTATACATTTTTCTAAGGTCCACATTTGTGTGACTTTTTTCTATTACAATTTTCTCATTTTTATTCTATTCCATTCTATTCTATTTTTATTCTATTCTATTTTATTATATTCTATTCCATTCTATTCTAATTTATTGTATTAAAATTCTATTCTATTTGATTGTATTCTATTTTATTTTATTCTATTCTATTCTATTCCATTCTATTCTGTTCTATTTTTTTTTTTTTTCGTTTCTATTCTATTCTATTCAATTTTAGCGCCACCGTCCCGTCGGGTTTTGGGCAGCCAACCGCACATCAAACGGGACTAGAGCAGCGAGTGTCCAATAAGACACCTAAGAAGTTGGCGGCAGCCAATGTCCGACAGCCGGAGCTGAATACACCGGATAAACAGAGGAATTCTCGGAGGGAAAAGATCGCGCGCTCCCTGTGCTTCTCGTCCCATTGTTTGAGAGGCACAACCGATCGGTAAGCATCCTCAATGTAACGCTATGTAGCACATATGAGTGAACGCTCAGCTTATCATCGCATCTCTACTCTGTATGTTTGACTCTGAGAATAGATTGGTTGCTAACCCAACAAGCTGCTTAATGATGCTCGTTTCATTATGTAGACGCCCTAAACTGGCATTAGCTGCTACTCACGGAATACATAACTGTTTTTATAAGCTACGTTTTCTGAGTAAGCAGCGTCACCTTATGTGTAAGCAGCTGACAGAGAGGAGGGCTCTCTTGTCTGTTAGCCTACTGCGTTAGCCGGCTAACTGTAGCTGTTTATTCCTAGCTGTGCTGCTATGTTTCAACGTTAGCTGCTGGGTTAGCTGCTGGAATAGCTGCTAGCGCAGAGTGGTGCTGAGGCAGCCCCTGTGTTTGATAAGACGGGCGGAGCATCTCTCCGACACCAGGATTATAAAAAAAAAACAACTTTAAAACAAAACAAAAAAATGACAATATATAATTAACTTAAATGTTAAGTGTAATTGTATTCAAAACAACGTGTTTGTTTACATAAGAACTCCGTTAATTCGAACTATTTTAATCAGCATTTTTAATTATTGCTTTAAAAGGAGCACTTAGCTCAAAGCTAATGCTAAAAACAAAAGGACACAAAGCGAGAGCGGAGCCATAATGGCTAACAGCTAGCGGGCAATCAAAGGAGGAGGAGGAGGCCATTGCTAATGTATTCATTTGCTAACTGAAGCCTGCACAGAGGAACGACGTTAGGACAGTACAGATTTAATGTTGCGGCAACCAGTTTTCATCTGATTTCATCTGACCTCTGTGTAACTACAGCTACAATAACAAGAAGCAGTGTTTAAAGAAGCTTAATGTTGGCCTTTCATGCAGTGGATCATCAGTCACCCAAGGCATCCCCCCTCCTCCTCCTGCCCCTCTTGTTTAAACAATAGACTGGACTGACAAAGCAAGACACAGACAGTGGAGCAAAGGGAAATTTGCGTATTCTCTCTCCTGCTGTTGTGTCACTCCACTTGGATGCATATTTTTCCTCTTGTTTTTTTTTTTTTTTTTCTTCTAGTAAGACAAGATGGTGAAGGATCCAAAAAAGCCCCGGGGCAAAATGTCCTCATACGCCTACTTTGTGCAAACCTGCCGAGAGGAGCATAAAAAGAAGCATCCTGATGCCACTGTTAACTTTTCAGAGTTCTCCAAGAAATGCTCTGAAAGATGGAAGGTAAACATTAGTCTTACTGACCAGAGATCTGCTTGTGGACCAAATATTTATTATTGATTGCCAGATTTATCAGTATTGTTTAAAAAAAAAAACTTTTCTAAAGATTTGATTATTTTTATTTGACAGGATGCACTTTTTTGTACTAGGTTTACCACAGTCACCTGCTGCATTCATTGACGCAATCAGGTTCATACACTGTAACACAAACTACAGACAGAGGAGTCAGAGCGATAGATCTTGGACAGTTTAAATCAAAGCAACAACTTTACTATTGAAAGGAGATATATTTCCCTTTTAGGCCCAAATTTGCTCACCCAAAAAGATACAGTAGAATGGCCATGTTTGCCAAGATTTAGAATTCCTTTTTATTAGATTCCTTCAAATAAGCTGTATCCAACAAACATTTCTTTATTCCTAGTAGATAAGCAAAAAACATTTAACTGATTTCCAATAATAAACAGAATTGGTACCTTAAAAAGTAACAAAATAATTAATACAATTTTTAGATCCAACTAGCTGACTACTAATGAGGGCTGGTGATGTGTATTTTTGTCTAATTATGGTTGGTTATCCAATCCAATTTTATTTTCGCAGCACTTAAAACAACCACAGCTGACCAAAGTGCTGTAAAGAAAAAATAAATGAACAAATAAAACATGAAACAGAACGAACAGCTAAAATATGGGTTAAAATAACACTCACTTAATAAAATCAGTTAAGTTGTGTAATTGATAAATGTAACAAAAGATGGGGGGAAAAAAAAAAAAAACTCTCTTGCTAGGTGTTAAAAGCCAAAGAGAAAAAGGGGTTTTGACAAGAGATTTAAAAACAGTCAGAGAAGAGGCCTGTCTGATGTGCTAAGGCAGGTCATTCCAGAGCTTTGAAGCTGCAACAGCAAAAGTGCTTTCCCCTCTAAGCTTATGCTTAGTCTTAGGGTCTTTCAGGAGTTATGAGTGTCTCTTTATTAGGGTTAGGTCTATTTAGGTATAGTATTTTAAACATGCTAAATGTTTGTAGGTTTGCTTTTGTGTCCTGCATTATAAATGTTTGCTTTTCTCTCATTCTGTCTCAAAGACCATGTCACCAAAGGAAAAGGGAAAGTTTGAAGATATGGCTAAACAGGACAAGCTACGTTATGAGAGGGAAATGAAAAACTATGTGCCTCCCAAGGGCCAGAAGAAGAAGCGATTCAAGGACCCAAATGCCCCTAAGAGACCACCGTATGTGACTTAATTTTTATTTTTTTGTACCACAGTATAATCGATAATCTCCCCAAACAACATTTAATTCCCCCACTTCTACCCCCACAGGTCTGCATTCTTTCTGTTCTGTGCCGACTTCCGCCCCAAGGTAAAGGGGGAACATCCTGGACTTTCCATCGGGGACACGGCTAAGAAGCTCGGAGAGATGTGGAACGGCTCGTCTGCAGAAGAAAAACAGCCGTATGAAAAGAAGGCTGCCAAGCTGAAAGAGAAATATGACAAGGTGAGTGGCTACCACTTGATTAAAGCGACTTCTGTTCAGATCCGATCACCTCGTTTGTCGTTCATTTAGTATGAATCTATCAAGGTAAAATAGGTAATTTTAAGTTAAAAACATGCTCTCTCATACTCTCCACAGGATATTGTTTCATACCGCACTAAGGGCAGAGTGGATTCAGAACCTGCGGCTGCAGCCAACGACGATGAGGAGGAAGACGAAGAGGAGGCAGACGAGGAAGAAGAGGAGGAGGAGGAAGAGGATGATGAGTAAATCACGTAAAGATGGGACATATCTTTTTGTTTATGCCATGTAATCCTAATGTACTCAGTTCGCCATCTTGAATCGCAAGTCAAATGTGTATATTTAATGTTTTTATGATGTACAGTGTTAAACTCCTTTTTTGTAAAGTTAACACTACATATCCTAAGTTTAAGAATTTTCTAGTGGTAGTTCTGTATTCCTGCCATATTATAAAACTATTTAGAAGGACTACACATCAGTATGGAAATAAGTAGTCTTTAGGTGTTACAACTCAAAAATAAAATTGATGAGTTGGTAGTGTATCTTTTTGTTTGTTTGTTTTGGAAATTATTTTTTTATGTGCTGTCCCAGTGTCTTTTTATTGTTCTTTGAATACCACTCTAATATCAAATGCAGCTGTTGACATTAAAGAATGTCTTCAATAAAGATTTCTTTTTTAAGATGTTTATTTTTCTTTCTTAACACCCACCAAAAGCTCATAACAAGGATAACACCTCCGCTCTCTTATTGCTTTGATTAGAAATTAGGTATTTTGAAAAAACATTTTACTGAAAGAGTTGGAGTATTCACAATTATTGCAAGCATTTTATCTAAGTATTGTTTAGAATGGAGATGAAGTCATGGTTTTAAAACTATTACAAGCATTGAATAACCACTAAAGAACAGAATAGGCACTAAATATGTGCAATGAATTAAAGGTTTCGATATATAGTGCATGATGTTGAAATATGGAATAGGTATCTGGACACGAGATTTATTTGTATGCTGCAGAAATGGCAAATACATTCACATTAACTTGACAAAGACTGATATTTTGAGAAGTAATAAAAGGAGTCAGAAATACCTCCTTCAACAATAATAAAGCAATATATCAGGTACAGTATTACAACTAACCACAAATAAATATGGATTTATTTCGAATTTATTCCCACATATTTGGAAATCCTGTAATGGGCGCTGTAATGAAGTTACTCCTGTAATTAGGCAATGAAAATCCACAATGCATCAAGCGTTGAAATGGCATTTACTTGAAGACGAAACCCTTTTTAAAGGGTCAGACACTGGTTTGGAGCTTAGCCATGGAGATTTACCAGATTTTTACAGATCTATAGAAAAAAGGACCTTGATCTCATACTGTAGTAGGTCATAAAATGCAAGTATATATATATATTTATATATATATATATATGTGTGCATATAAACATAAAATGTTTGGATCATTGATTGATCAATAAATAAGTAACAAAATGGAAGCAAACACGTTGATTTATTTTTAAGGAATGCATTTATGTAACTCTTGTTGAATCTGTCTGAAATTCTGCATAGAAGAACACTTTACAGGGTATTTTTCGCTCTGTGACATTTTAAAGTTAGTCAAAGTACATCTAATCCTATTCGCTCAACAACTTAAAAAGAGGTCAGGAATAGTACTTCTTGTGTTTGGTGTTTCTAACTCCTCTCAGAGGAATGACCTGGTTTTGAATTCCCAGTTGTGGTCACTGGATACACAAATTGTCAGAGAGACCACAATCACTTAGCAGGGATTCAAATTTCTGTTTATGGAACTCCTCTCAGCAGTCCTGCAAAAAGTTGGGCTTTTCTCAAAGGGATTTTTCTAGTAAAAATAAGGTCAATGTGTTTCTGAAGTCTTAGAAACACCAATTCTGAATGTAGTTATGAGTCACTTCTAAGTTGTGCACTCTAGATAAAACACAATTTCTGCTTTGCCGTACTGTCAGCTCACTTTTAATACTTATGCAGAGTGGAGCCCACCCCCACCTACTCACCTTTCTCTCATTTTAACCTGTTCCTGAAAGCTGTCACATTCTCAGCATCAGCCCTTTCCCAGAAGAAGTACAAACCCAGTGAACTAGATGCGACTTTTCACTCTGCACAAAGAACCTCAATTCTGCAACAAAACCGCAAGGAGAAAATTCAAAACTGCTGGAATCAAACACAGGGTAGGACAAATATTTTATTTAGACTTCTGCATATTTAAGGGATTTTAAGAACAGATTGAAATGTATATATTTTGATAATGTGGCGATTTGCTTTCTTCCTGTGCTTTGGCCTTGGCAGTTGCATGATTTCAGCCCAGTCAGGATTTTTTACGAGAGATCAAGTAATCACTTCGGACACCTAGTTTTCTATTTGTTGGGCTGTTTGGAGTCAGTACCTTACCTATTCTTGCTGCACATTTTTTTTACTTTTTGCACAGGATCCTACTTCTAGAGTTTACTTTGTCATCAGGTCAAATAAATGGGTACCTGGGAGATAAACTTTTAATGGAAACTACGACGTATGAGCAAAATCATGATTTTGTCATTGCTTTTTTGGGTAAGTTGGATCACTAATTCATAAGTTGTTAAAACATTTTGTTTAAAACGATCAGTAAATATAAGAGTGGGGCAGAAACTTTGAACAAAAATGTACTTTTAGGAGTATTTTCACTGCACCATGCTTTTATATGAATAATGAAGCATCACTACGCTTACTTAAGTAAAATGCTTCCCTACTCTACATACCATGAGTAACTTTACTGAATGTAGAACAAGTAGATTTGAACCTAAATTGCACAACTAAAATCAATAGCTTGTTGTTTTTTTTTGCACCCAAGCTTTGTTGTTTTCTTTGTTATTTCTATCTATTAAATTTTCTATGACACTGAGGTAATATGCAGTAAAAGTACATTAGAACCAGAACTATCCATCCATTAATCCATTCAATTTCTCCCATGTAGTCCTTATCATGGTCGTAGTGGGGCCAGTGCCTATGTCTGGTAGTTTAGAGCCTGGACACGTCGCCAGTCTGTCGCAGGGCAACATGGAGACATACAAATACACACACCCATCACACCTAAGGACAATTAAGAGAAGCCATTACACACACACATATTATATATATTTATATATATATATATATATATATATATATATATATATATATATATATATATATACCTAAGTAAGAATCCATAAGATTTATGTTGAATTAATCAATTTACATTTTATACTGCCTGGGTTTTTTTTCTTCCAGCAGTTTTTTTTTTCTCCAATTTATTTTATTCATTTTTATTCATATATATTATGAACGTCACAGAGGGGTGGTTTGCTACATCGCTTCACAGCAGCAGGGTTCTGGTTTCGAGTTCCGGGGGAACAAGGACCTTTCTGCATGACAGGTTACTTGGAGATTCCAAATCGCCCTTATGAGTGAGTGTATGTGTGTGTTCGTGTTTGTGTGGCCCTGCGATGGTCCTGGCAGACAGTCCAGGGTGTACCCCGCCTCTCGCCCACTGACTACTGGGGTAGTCTCCATTCCCCCCTGCGACCCCATTAGAGAAGAAGCAGTTACAATAATGGATGGATATGTGATCTGTCTTATAACATAATTAGGGGGGCCACATGCCGAAGGCATGGCCCACCTATTACTATTGCACATATTTATTCCGCGTATTATTAGGGGGGCCACATGCCGAAGGCATGGCCCACCTATTACTATTGCACATATTTATTCCGCGTATTATTAGGGGGGCCACATGCCGAAGGCATGGCCCACCTATTACTATTGCACATATTTATTCCGCGTATTATTATTATAGCTTATAGTTCTCCTCGTCCCCTAAAAACTTCGGCGCGTAACTAGTCACGCACCATTCGTCGGATCAGGCCCCAAGTTGGCACACGCGTAGGGACCAATGGGGCGATGCGTGCTTGTATAAAACTTTCTCATTAGTCCGAAGGTTTGCGAATTATTAGCGAAAACGTCGCAAAAAAATCCCATAGGAAATGAATGGGGAGAGGAAAAAAAAAGCATAAAAAACAGCATTTCACTGTGTCACCATACATTCACCTAGAAAAACAGTTTAAAGCTCAGTTTGTAGATAAATCCTTCGTCTATTTAAAACTGAAGACGGCATGTTGATAACTGCTACGGTTTTTGTATAATCAGACCTCAAGCGCCACAAAGTTTTAGCAAAATCCTGCCTCCTAGAGTGGAGCAACTGAAAAGCTAGAGTGTGAGGCAGCCGTTTTTTTAAGACCAAAAAACATTTTAAACTCGCCCTCACGGCCACATATTTATAGCTAGAGTCACCATTTTTGGTCAGTTTGTAGACTGAAATCTCTGGACCCACACAATGTCTTCGGAATTACGGTAGGATTAAAACTTTTCCTTAAAAACCCTCCAGACCGACCTAAAGTCGATGAAAATCAGAGCATTTTTCCATTGGTTTTGGAGCAGCAGAGGGGAGAAAAACGATTGACAGTATGTGTTTTAAACTCGTCATAAATATTGTTCTGAAAGACACACATACACCAAAGTTGGCATAGTTGGAGTGAAAGGATGGCTGACGCTCACGGTGAAAGAATTTTTTGAATAACTCATACGGTTTTTGCTCAGCAGTCGTTTGTTCGGAGGACATTTTAAGCACCAGAAAGCTGGGTGACAGTGTCCTGCTGCAGCTAGCTCAATTAGAAGCTCAGGTGTGAGGAAACGTTTTTTTTTTCCTTCTCTTCCCATTCAGGTTGTAGATGACCTACAGCCATGAAAGTTACTCTAATTGAAGTAAAGATATAGCTGTAGCTTAGATAAAAATAATTTTTCAGATATCATTTATGGTTTTTACTCAGCAGTCATTTGTTCGGAGGGGGGCTTTAGCAGCTTAAAGGTGAGTGAAAGTGTGTTGCTGCAGCTAGCTCAGTTAGAAGCTAAGGACTGAGGACCCGTTTTTCTTATTCTTTCTCTTCCCATTCAGGTTGTAGATGACCTACAGCCATGAAAGTTACTCCAATTGAAGACAAGATATAGCTTTAGCTTAGATAAAAATAATTTTTCAGATACCTTTTACGGTTTTTACTCAGCAGTCGTTTGTTCGGAGGGGTGCTATAGCAGCTTAAAGGTGACAGAGTGTGGTGCTGCAGTTTAAACAAAGGGAGGAGCAGGTGGGATCAGCCATTTTGTTTGTGCTTCGTTTTGGGTTGTGAAAGAGCTACAGACATGAAGGTTACCCCAGTCTGAGACAAAGGATAGATGTTTCTTTCACTGAAAGAATTTTTCTAATACCTTTTACGGTTTTTGCTCAGCAGTCGTTTGTTCGGAGGGGTGCTATAGCAGCTTAAAGGTGACAGAGTGTGGTGCTGCAGTTTAAACAAAGGGAGGAGCAGGTGGGATCAGCCATTTTGTTTGTGCTTCGTTTTGGGTTGTGAAAGACCTACAGACATGAAGGTTACTCTAATTGAAGTAAAGATATAGCTGTAGCTTAGATAAAAATAATTTTTCAGATATCATTTATGGTTTTTAC